CCTAACACACAAAGTAAAATATAGCCTTTTTTGTTTTTTTTCAGCATGAATCCTGCTGGAGAGAAATGGCTGACTCCAGGTCTGAGAAAGTGTAAGTTTAATGTGGATATTGACTGGCTAAAGACAGGTGTCATCATAATCCTGCTAATGTGTTACAGATTTCTGTGAACTATCTCTGGATCCAAACACAGCTCACAGAAGACTCCATCTGTCTGAGGACAAGCGCACAGTGAAGTATGTGAACGAAGATCAGCCGTATCCTGATGTCCCAGAGCGATACACCTCCTGTCCACAGGTCCTGTGTGACAAAGGCCTGAGGAGCCGCTCTTACTGGGAAGTGGGCCTAGATTTGAGCTCAAATGGAAGTGTTTTCATTGCACTGACTTATATAGGAATCTCGTCAGAAAAAGAGTTTGGATCAAACAAAGACTCATGGGCTCTGGAAATCTCCAGAGGACGTTATACTGTGTGGCATGATGGGAAAGTGTCTACTCACTCTTACAATCCACAATCCCAACAATCCTTTGTCTCACACCGATTCAATCCATCTTCTATTACTCGAGTAGCAGTGTACTTAGACTTTGCCGCAGGTACAGTCTCCTGGTATGATGTGTCCTTTGATAAAATGACCCTTCTCCATCTTTTCCACACCACATTCTCACAGGCTGTCTATGCTGGGTTCAAAGTGCTGAGCGGATCAGTGTCTCTGGTCCCTCACAGATCTGCTGTTTAGATGGAGACGCTGCAGCAGTAAAACACTATAGTTGGATGTCGGTTTCCCCCCCGTTCATACGGAGACTGTGTTCCAGGGGGGTGAAAACATAAAAGTTAAAGGAGCTATACCCGTTTCTGCAAGGTTTGAATGTTTAGCCCCGCCCCCCCAACTCGCTCACAGGTCTCTCATTTCCCCTACGCTCTCATCCCACAGAGCCATCTAGTTTTATTTGCGATCTGATACATATGCTAACGTTAGCATGAGCGCAACGTATTGTGAGCTGTAACAATCACTGATGAAATGGTACAAAAGCAGCGCACTGCTAACAAAATATATAAGCAAAAGAATACCGTTAGATTTGCGTCCGAATGTATTAATTAAAACATTAGAATATATTTGGATAGTTAATTATTATTTATTACGCAGCTCCTCACATCAGCAGTAGAACGCTCTACAATTTTAATGTAATTTCAAAACAGAACTCTCAAACCAATAATGACCGCTGCCCTTTGGCAATGCAATCTCTGTTTGTAATTCAGGTGTGTAAAATACTAACATTACTCCGCAAGTACAACAAGCTTTCAGCGCCTGTCACTACTTCTGTGCAGAGAAGCTAGCGGAACTAGCGGAGCTTTTTCAGAATTAGTTGTTAACGTTTTCATGACAAAAATTCTGTTTTAATGTTACAAAAAGCGATTGTGAAACAAACATTTTAGGACATATTTGAAGAAGATCTGATGGATTTAAGTTTGGTATATAAATGGGTAACCCACCGCTGATGTTCAGAATTCTTTGTTCAGTTATCATGTAGTTCCAGAGAGTTTTTGAACTAGCTAGCTTAGCTGTTACCTTCCTAGCACGTCACGGTGAAACCTTTGGGAGCTAACTATTTTATTTGCAGTCATTAAATACATTTCAAATATTAACGGCTGTCTTATATTCTTCCAAATATATATATATTTCTTTGTAATATTCAAATTGTATTTTTATACTTGAATTTTGAAGTCGAAGCCCTGGTGTTAAGCAGCGCTGTAGAGGCTAGAGGACGCAGGCTGTTCGCTGCTCGTTCTGTGAGCGGAGGAGAACGACAGAACGAGCGTCCCGCTAAGTCTCTATTCTGCACTTTTTACGGCCTGAATTCATACACAAGCTGAATCAATGAGATCAAGTTTTCAATTAAATTACGGATTTTAATACAACTTGTATGTAGTAATAAGCGTTTTTATGAAATGAAAAAAATTCTTTATAGCAACCCTGTGTAATTTTTACAGCTGCTCCATATGCAAAAACATGTTAACTAATAGCAAATGTGACCTTTTTATGAATATTTACCTCCACCATGTTTTTTGAATTGTATTCATAGGCTTAGAAATTAACTTATACTGTAAGTGTCCATGAGAGAGGAGTGCTCTCCAAGAATATACGCCGAGAACGAGCGTAAACAACGTAGGCGGAAACGCTAACTAGCTACGTGTGCTTCGAGCGCTACACGGAGAAGGATTCTACTCTTTCGTTCGTTCAAACAAAACCGCGCAAAGCTCTAGTTTCAGTTTCCATTTTTGCAGCTGCTGTGAAATGCAGAATGATGTTGGTGCCTTCATGTCTTTGTGGCGCCTGGGGAGAATGTTGTGGAGAAAGTGGGGTTGCGTGTGTCGTGTTGTTAATTTCCTCTACCCACTGCTGTCCGGGCGCTAGAACTACACCGTTTTTGATCCTCATATGAACGCTGTGAAATTTGCATAAGGAGCCTGGTTGTTTCTGTTAATAGCTTGTCTGCACAGCGCCTCCATATAAACCGGGCCATAGAGCAATCTCAATCAGAAGTGTGAAATTATACAGCCCTCATTTATAAGTGTTTATACAGGGCCTTCCTCCTGCTCAAGTCTTTTGGAAAAGACTATTAAACAATTACAACAGAATCAAAATGTGTTGTTCCTTCAGAATATTCTACACAACCTTAAACATGCGCATTGCTGTAAACAGACGACTGCATTTCATAACACACTTTTGTCATGGAATCAACAGCAGCTGTAGAGAGAGTCTGTAGCCTGCAGAGGTAGTTTCTGCAGCGGGTGTTTTAGCAGCAAAAAGATCAATGAGTTGATGGATGAAATATGACAGAAGAGAACAGAGACATGGTGGCATTTGTCCATGATGAGATCTTTGAATGATCTGAGGTATGAGCATAGGTACATTCTAAAGTAGTCAAATTGTAAAGGACGTTAATTTTCCCTTTAAGAAAATGCTAAGTTTAAGTTAATATGCTTTATTTTTGTGTGTTTGGGTGGGGCCAGGTAGAGTGCAGTTCCTTTTATGTACAGTAGGGGGAACTAGTGATAGTAATGTGGTAGTGTGGAAGCTGGCCTGGGTTTAGGCCCAACAGTTTTTTGACTGTGTGCTTTTTTTTTGTGGAAAACTGCAAACTGTTGAAACTGTTCACTTGGAACTCTGAAACCTGTGCATCATTAAAACAACACACTACCGTTATTCCATAAGTTTGGACATTCAATCTCTTTATTTTCTCAAGAACACAAGTCAAGCTAAAGCTATAGCCCAGGCTGCTTACAGTGGCAAAGACACTCTCAACAATTGTCACAACACCTATAATCCCCAAAAGAGCACATTGACTGCAGATGCCTCCTCCTTAACCCTTGTGCTGTCTTCCGAATAAAATAACCGCCACAGTTTATACCATAAACTAGGCTCTAAGAGGATGATGACCTAGGGTCAAGTTGGGGAAAACCATCAAAATTTTGCTAGATATTTTTTCATCGCTGTTTCAGGTCAGTCAGTCTGATTGATCTGAGAGTCAGTGTAGATCTGACTAAGGAAGAAATCCACCGCTCAAACCAGTGGTGATTAAGCAGAACTAGCTTCTCTTCACACTTATAATAGTATGTTTGTGTCTAAATATAGATCAGATTCAGATTCATTTAACCACATTGGAATACACATGCAAAAGTCCCAAGTGTGCACAAGACAATTCATCCATCCATCTGTAACCGGGTGGTTGTGTAGTGTTTTAATCCGACTATCATACATAACCAGCAATGCCATTAGAATGAAAGAATATAAGCACACAGGTAAGTATTATGGAAAAGACTGAGGCAGAATTGCTATACTCAATATCTAAACCATTTACATATTGAGTATAGCAATTAGATTTAGTCCATGTTGGCAAAGTGGCACACAATTCAAGCCACCACAGATCTCCGCTTGGATAAAGGGAAAACAAAAAAGGCAAGGCGGCCGCTCCTCTCCTCAGCACCAGCAAGATATCTATGGTAGATGCAATAGGTTACTACACAAACTGTTATTTGTATTAGTTCGATTTCGGGCGTACCACCATTAAAGTGATAGTCTGTTACACTAAATGAATCACAAATTTTAGTCAATTCTGTCAATCTCACGCTCCATCCTTCCCTCACTCGTGAACAAGACCCTGAGATACTTGAACTCCTCTACTTGAGGAAGGACTGCTCCACCCACCTGGAGAGGGCAAGGCACCTTTTTCCGGTCGTGCTGATTCTCAGCACCTCCAAAACAGAATCAGCACAAAACAATTACTTAAATAAAACAGTAAGCAATTGATCGTTTGTTAGCATATCGAGATGTCCTGCATCTCAGTGAATGACATCTTCTGCCAGAGGGAAGAAGCTGGAACATGGCTTATACAGGGTGGCCAGAAGAGTCATTGATTATTCTAAGTGCTTGGTTTAAAAGGCTGTATTTAGTCCATAGTCCTGCACAGTCCTCTTTGCAGAGCGGAAAACCTTGTTAAGAGCTCTTCTTTCTTTAGCTGTGATGTCAGTGTTAGTGGTAAATTCTTTAAGTTTTTGCTTATAATCTCGCAGTATGATCTTGTATCTTCACTATATAAATCTACTGAGGGAGTTGTCAAGTGACTGTGACTGAGGAGCACTAGTAACATGGTTCAAAGCTCAGAAAAGACGATTCTACAGAATATGTGTCCTTTAAAAACATTTATCAGAAAACCAGCACTTACTTGAACTTTAGGGACTGGGGATTGGACTTGACTTGGAATGTACTTGGACTGGACTTGGACCTCTTTAACACAGGGAGGCTGGTTCTAGTGTAACCCGAGATCCCGCCTCTTCAGCCCGCCTGCCTCCTGTCCTCTCCCCGCTCTGTCTGCTCTCTCTCGGGGGATATTCCTGGGATGTTTTAGCTCCGGGGACAAAGACACGTATCCAGGCGGGTATGCCACACTTCTAACAGATGTTCACTGGGAAAACACACTGGAACAGAAGAGGATGAGGGGCACATGAGAGCTGGTGAGAGAGCATAAGGTTCAGGTCAGAATCACTTCAGATTCACTTCAGATTCACTTCGCTGCATGTGGTTGTTGTGGTCTGCTTTGGCATTTCGTCCAGAGCTGGAGAACTATCCATTATAAGCATTTTGTGTTTAATTCATCTGTATTCACGTTTCAAAACCAGGTGAAAGTGCGTAAGTGGCATTTGGTTAAGGATTATATCTAGAAATATTACTGCGAGACGAAAGCCAAACTATTTTGGTAACCCCGTGGTTTTTGACGCTATTTAAAGCATTTTAGAGTGGAAATATCTCCAAGTTAGCTTGAACAGAACAGTACGTGGCTCCAAGTGAATTAACATTTGGGTTTTACAGTTTTGATATAACTTTTGGACCAAACACACACGCATTCCTCTTCTATTTCTAAAAACGGCTTCCCAAAACAGAAACTACGTGTGGACTTTTAACACGACGTATTTCGTGTTTTCGTTAGAGACTTTGTTTTATGCTAATTTAGTGCGTTTTATTTGTTTTATACTCACTCGTTTTGTTCAACCTTTATAAATCAGTGCGGCGCGAGCCTCACCCGGATGGTAACCACGGCAACGGCATACAGTAGCTAGCGCAGAAACAGTGGTGCTAATGTTAGCTAAAGTTAACGAAAGTTCACCCTCAGTAAACCTGTTGTGGTATACAACTAGTTTGAAATATGTCTGTAATTAAATACAAGTTTAATTAATACATAATTATGGGTGCCACTTTCCAAAGAAATTATCTACCACCTGTATTTTCTCTAAACGTGTCAGCTACAAGCTATGCTTTATCATCCACAAAATGTATGCGTCTATGTTGTTAACAGAAGATTTCTAGAGTGAGTTGATTTGACACTTCAGGGAAGGCCACATTGAGATTGGGATCCAGGACTGAGGCTGTAGACCCAGGAATGAGGCTGTAGATCCAGGACTGAGGCTGTAGACCCAGGACTGAGGCTGTAGACCCAGGAATGAGGCTGTAGATCCAGGTCTGAGGCTGTAGACCCAGGACTGAGGCTGTAGACCCAGGAATGAGGCTGTAGATCCAGGTCTGAGGCTGTAGACCCAGGACTGAGGCTGTAGTCTGTTCCAGTGCTGATGAAGATGACCAGTGAAAAGACCTGTGTGCTGCTGACGCCTCGGCCAGCGTCATGCATTTTCCAAACGGCCGAAGAGAAGGACGAACTCCTGGGGGACGAGAGGTAAGACCAGGGTTAAAGCTGGGATCTGTAAAGTTAGTCTCAACAATAACACATGTTTAAAGCTGGAGTCTGCAACTTTATTCTATTTACAGTTTGAACAGAAAGAGTCTTAGTCTACATAGAAAACATCTTTTGTATAAGATCCCTGTGAATCGCTATCTGCCTCTTTGGGCTGAGAAATGATTGCCTAAGTGAGGGTGGTCCTGTCTTTGATCTTAATGTGTGACATCACAAATACTCCTAAGGGGATCAATAAAGTATCTATCTATCTAGAAGCAACTGTTCTAGAGACAGAATTAGAGACATGGGTTTAATACATTACTTCAATAATTGTGGTGTTAAAATGATGTACTGTAGCTTTAAAAGTGTGTCTCAACTGCCCTGGAGCTGCTTGTGCTATTGTAGACTGGTACCAGGTGTGGTACCAGGTGTGGTACCAGGTGAGTGTCTCCACAGTGTGCTGGAGATGCTGAGTTCCTCTAAATTCTGGGACCTGGAGTCGTGGCTGTGTATGCCGTCATCTCTGCGTCTGCGCTCCTCCTCCTCCTCTTCCTCCTCTTCCTCACAGACATCACTGAGGTCAGACAGGTATGAGACCAGACCCAGATCCTGACCCAGACCAGACCCAGACAAGACCCAGACCTAGACCCGGACCCAGAACCAGACCCAGACCTAAACCCAGACCCAGGGCCTTTTGGTTATGATAAACTCTGTTGTTGTCACACACAAAAAAGGCTCAGTGAAATTACAATATTGTTTCTCATGTTTCTCTGACTCTATTCTCTCAGAAACAGAAGAGCAGGGGTAAGAAGGAGGGGTGAGGAGCAGGGGTGAGGATCAGGGAGTGGTTCTGATCTGATCTAAAGGAACTAAGTGTTTAGACTCATGGAGGAAGTGACTGAGATACGAGATCAGAATGTTTCCTCAGCCTGAGTACCGACGGACAGCCCTGTACAGTAGAGTAGAGTAGAGTACAGTAGAGTAGAGTACAGTAGAGTAGAGTACAGTTGAGTTGAGTACATTAGAGTAGAGTAGAGCAGAGTACAATATAGTACAGTTGAGTACTGTAGAGTAGAGCAGAGCACAGAGTATAATAGAGTAGAGCAGAGGAGAGCACAGTACAGTAGAGTACATTAGAGCAGAGTAGAGTTGGTGGAAACAGGGCTCTTGTTGTATTACATCAGAGCCAAAATGTCTGACCATAACAGTGTCTTCCTCAGATGCTCGGACAGACTGCAGTCCTTCCTGAGCTCCACACTGGTACGCGACTCTCAGTTTGTGTCCAGCCCAGTGCTGACCATCACTCCTCCCACCTCCACCTCCTCCCCCTTACAAACCACCTCCTCCCCCTCACACACCGCCTTCCCCTCCTCTGAGGTCCCCCCCACCCCATCCTCCCCCCCTGATGTCTCCCTGAGGAAGAGGCGTCGGCTTGGGGCCAGTCCTGGAGGTCTGCACTGGACCTCAGCAGGTGAGACACAGGCTCCAGACTCATCTGAACCATCAGAGGAAAGATGGGGACGAGACTTTAAATATACACTCATATTTATATATATATAAATATAAATATATATATATATACACACACACACACCCACATACACTCACATATATAAACAATCACACACTGCATTTTTCTTATATTTCTCTTTCTCCTTAAGACGCTCCTCTCTATCTAGTTTTATCGTTATTATTGAAATATAACAACAATTATCATAGTAATTAGTTATTTTATTTTTTATATTAATCAGTTTTTTATGGTCTATTAAACATAAAATAACTAATTATGTTTCATTATAATTAGTTGGTAACTTCTTTGTTTTTATGTAAATGTATAATTGAAAGCCATCTTCCTCATTATCAGCTGGACCTCTTGAATTGCTTCAAAGCCAGTTTTTGATTTTCGAGGTGTTGGTTGTTCTTCAATTTCTGGTAATTTGTTTGATAGCGGTTGTTTGCATTAAGAGTTGTTCTTCTCCTTCCTCTATGAGTTCATATTCCCAGTGATAATGTGTTTTCCTCACGTAGGTTTATGTTTCCAAGTACTTTCTCATTATTTGTTTTCACTTCAGTCTTTCAAACTCTTCAGTATGCTGATGGTCTGTGTGAGAAGTTTGTCTTCATCCTTTGTACCACTTTATCCGTACTTTCTTCTAGTTCTTTTTTCCCACTTCCTCTGGTTGTTTCCCCATTTTTCTTCTGGTGTTCTCTCTCTATGGTGTACATCTCTTTAATAATCTCTGTTGCTCTCTTTATTATGTAACGTACAACAGCATGAAGTTTTTGTTATTTAGGTAACAATAGAAAGTATTCAGTGGAAGATGGTATTTCTTTGCAATATTTTCACACCTGTCACTTCCGTGGTCACTGTAGATGGTGGTATCTTTTCATTCTTTAGTTTTCCAAGTTTTGAATCCTTTGTCTGTAAGATTGGGCATGAACTGTGGGTCTCGAGTTATTTCTCTGAGAAGATCGTGTGTTGTTTTGTCACATTACATTTCTTGCATAATTCTTTCCACGTCTTAAGTGTTTACTGTGACGCTCTTCTTTCATTTTAAAGTTGTTGAAGGGGAGGTTTGATATCTTTTTCCTCCATCGATTTCCATTGTGTTCATTTTTCAGTTCATTTATCCTATCTGGTAGTGTTTTCATCTGGGATGCGAGGAAGTAGTTTGCCAGGTCAGGAAGTGCTTAGCCCCTTTTTTGTTTCTTTCTTCAGAGGTTTTTCATTTTTACTCTGGGTTTTTTCCCCTCCCCTCCAAATGAAGAGGTAGATTCTGAAAAATGAATCTACCTCTTCATTTTTTATCATTTTAACTCTTTCAAAAATGGTTAGGGCTATCATTGTCCATCTGATGAGCTCTTGCTGTGAGGATGTCATAGAGTTGATTCTATTTTTGTACTTTGTTTGTATTTTGACTTTAGTTCTCTGTTGGTTTGGTTTTAGTTTTACTGTCCTGTTCCCCTGTCTTGATGGTCTCGCCTTGTTGCTGGTCCATTGTATTGTCTCCGTCTTAGTCCGTCCGTTTTCCTGGTTCCTGAGTTTTTGTTTGGATTTTGAGTTTTTTTTAACCTTGAACATTTATTTCATCATCTTTATTAAATCATTATTTTGCATTTCTGCGTCTTGAGTCCTTCTCCTTTTCACCTCGTGACAGTATCATGATTAATTTCATAGAGTTTGTCTAACTCCCACTGATGTCTGCTGTCGTTGTGTCCTTGGGCAAGACACTTAACCCCACTTTGCCCGAAGCCCACCTGCAGGAGGATCAGTGAGGGGCTGGTGCTCTGTGTACTGGCTGCAGCTCTGACTGCCACCCCCCAACCCAGAAATGGATTAAGGGGAAGAAAATGGATGGAGTTTGTCTAATCTATTTTGTCACATGTTCATTTGAGTTTTTATCTGTGTTAGGCGATCTTCTTTATAACCAGGTACAAACCCATACAGTCTGATTTCTTCTGGTAGATTTCTAATTTTCCATCATACATCATCATGTTATCTGCATCTAATACTAGCTTATGTTCTCCATCGATAACTGTCACTCCCTTTATTACTCTATTTCTTCATTACATTTAGGAAAGCTTTATGAATTCCAAATTCCTGAAGTGCAGCAAATAAAAAAATCCATGATACGCAGTCGCATGCTTTTTCTGGGCCCAGTGTCAGGATGAGTGCCTTTGTTTTGTTTTGTTGATCTATAACATTGATGGCTTTCCTCAGCAGTCTGTTCTTAACCAAACCACTCCGATCCAAATAGATTATTAAGAGTCTGTTGGTTAGAATCAAAGAGCATACTTTGTGGTCCACATAGGGATATGGGGTGGTATGAAAAGCATCTTTGCTGGTCTTTTCCTTCTTTGGCAATAATAGTGATAATCGCAGGGTTCTATGTTTCAGGCCATTTTCCTGTATCCAATATTTTGTTATAGACTCTGCACAGTGTGGCCAAAAGTAGGTTTTTTAATTGTTTATAAAACTCATATGATAAGCCATCATTTCCTGGTGCTCACTGGTGATGAGTGTGAAGTCTGTGGGATCGGTTTTACAAGATAGTTGTTTTGTGCCTTTCGTACTCTTCATATACGAATCCACTTTGGTTATGTCGATTTCTTCAGATTCTGGCTTCTACAGTTGTTCATAGTCTTTGAACGTGGAAAGAACTCCCTTTTTTGTTCTCAATCTCCAACTTTTATCAATGTTTTAACTCTATTTTGTTGTTGCGGATGCTTAATTTTGCATTAAGCATCCGCTGGGCCGTATTGTTGTATTAAGTCAGTGTATTCGTCGTTGTTACTTTTTCCATTTCTTAAAGGTCAATATTTTCCCATTTTTTCCTTATTTTCTTCAGTTCCTTCTCCTTTTCTTTATTTATAAGACTAAAATTACAGACCCCAGCTTTAAACATGTGTTATTTATGAGACTAAAGTTACAGACCCCAGCTTTAAACATTTTTTACGTACGAGTCTGTTTGGAGCCTCAGTGCAGTGGCGTCCACCAGGGGGCGACAGTGCACACACAGACACACAGTACAAGCAGCAGGTTCAGACAGACATGGAACTGAGGGCTGCTCTGGTCTCCATCTCATGTTTGATCCACACCTGGTTTTGAAGAACACAGGAGAAGCAGAGAGACCAGAGAGGCCTCATATCTGTGGAGTCATGTTTCTTTTCAATATTGATGCGTTTGCAGCAGACAACTCTGAGACACAGGACACCTGCATCAAACATTTACAGCCCCCGACCCTTCTGAGCCCTGCTCCTGTTTCAAACATGTTAGGAGCACACAGGCCAGTGAGAGAGACCATAGAGAAACCATAGAGAGACCAGAGAAAGACCAGAAAGACCAGAGAAAGACAAGAGAGAGATCAGAGAGACCAGAAAGAGACCAGAGAGAGTCTATAGAGAGAGACTAGAGAGAGTCTATAGAGAGAGACTAGAGAGACCAGAGAGAGAGACAAGAGAGAGGCCAGAGAGAGGCCAGAGAGAGACCAGAGCGAGACCAGAGAGAGATGTAAAATAAACCCTACCCCCTGAGGCAGAGGTCTCCAAACCAGTCCCCAGGGGCCACTGTGGCTCAGTGAGTTCAGACTGAACCCAAGGAAATGGGTGGAGTCTGCTCTGCTCCTGGTTGGTCGTAGAGAATACCTAAACGCCTCTTGCTTTAGCCCATTCCTCGCCTCTTCATGATGGCCTCGTCTTTTTGTCTCAGGTTTGGTGCAGCGTGACTTCCTGTCCCCCACATCACCTGACTTGTCACCTGACCTGTCACCTGACCCATCTCCCACGGCGACAGGTGTGTGGGGGGGCGGAGCTTTGAGGGACAGGTGTGATGCGGCGAGGGTCACTGTCACCGTGGGTGACGCATTTCTGCAGCGAACAACAAAACTGAGAGGAGCGAGGAGGCTACGTACTCAGGTACCTCTGCTACTGGTACTGCTACTACTACTGCTACTGCTACTGCTGCTACTACTGCCACTGCTACTGGTACTGCTACTGGTACTGCTGCTGATACGGCTGTCGGTACTGCTGCTGGTGCTGCTACTGCTGCTACTACCGCTGCTGCTACTACTATTGGTACTACAGCTGCTACAGCGACTGGTTGTTCTGCTGTTATATGTACTGGAACTGTTGCTGCTGCTACTGAAGAATTGGTGAAAGGCAGAGGCCACATTCAGATACAGACAGTTTCACTCAGAGGCGACAAACTGAAGAGAAAATCCTTCAACTGAAATGAGAATAGGGGATTACATAAGCAGTGTGTGCAATTAAGAGACTTTAGTTCTGCTTGAGTCCTGCTTTAGACCTGCTTTAGACCTGATATTGTTGTCCTTTAGTCCTGCCCTAGACCTGCTTTAGACATGCTTTAGTCCTGATTTAGTCCTACTTTAGTCCTGCTTTAGATCTGCTCCAGACCTGCTTTAGAACTGCTTTAGACCTGCTTTATTCCTGATTTTGTCCTTCTTTAGTCCTGCTTTAGTCCTGCGTTAGACCTACTTTAGTCCTGCTTTAGACCTGCTTTAGACCTGCTTTAGTCCTGCTTTAGTGCTGCTTTAGACATACTTTAATCCTGATTTAGGCCTACTTTATTCCTGATATTGTCCTTCTTTAGTCCTACTTTAGTCCTGCTTTAGATCTGCTTTAGTCCTGCTTTAGTCCTGCTTTAGTCCTGCCCTAGACCTGCTTTAGACCTGATATTGTTCTTCTTTAGTCCTACTTTAGTCCTGCTTTAGATCTGCTCCAGACCTGCTTTAGAACTGCTTTAGACCTGCTTTATTCCTGATTTTGTCCTTCTTTAGTCCTGCTTTACTCCTGCTTTAGACCTGCTTTAGTCCTGCTTTAGACCTGCTTTAGTCCTGCTTTAGTGCTGCTTTAGGCCTACTTTATTCCTGATATTGTCCTTCTTTAGTCCTACTTTAGTCCTGCTTTAGTCTTGCCCTAGACCTGCTTTAGACCTGATATTGTCCTTCTTTAGTCCTACTTTAGACCTGCTTTAGACCTGCTTTAGTCCTGCTTTAGTCCTACTTTAGCCCTGCTTTAGACCTGCTTTAGTACTGCTTTAGTCCTGCTTTAGACCTGCTTTAGTCCTGCTTTAGTCCTGCTTTAGTCCTGCTTTAGTCCTGATATTGTCCTTCTTTAGTCCTACTTTAGTCCTGCTTTAGACCTGCTTTATTCCTGCTTTAGACCTGCTTTTCTCCTGCTTTTGACCTGCTTTCGACCTGCTTTAGTCCTGCTTTTGTACTGCCTTAGACCTGTTTCCTTCCACACTGCAGAAGGGGGTTTCTGATATTAGCGCTGACAGTAAAGGTTATGTTTGAATATTTGAATAAAAGTGTTTTGGAGGCGGACGTCACTCACACATAAACGCTCTGAACACAAGGCTTTCTCTGCAATATTACTGCTGAGAGAGATCAGAGAGAAACAGACCGGAGAGATCAGAGAGAAATCAGAGAGAGAGCAGATAGAGCGACCAGAGAGAAACCAGAGAGAGACCAGAGAGAGACTGAAGAGAGACCCGAGAGAGACCAGAGAGAAACCAGAGAGAGACCAGAGAGAGACTGAAGAGAGACCCGAGAGAGACCAGAGAGAGATCAGAGAGAGACCCGAGAGAGACCAGAGAGAGATCAGAGAGAGACGAGAGAGAGATTAAAGAGAGAGACCAGAGAGAGACCAGAGAGAGACTGAAGAGAGACCGAAGAGAGACCAGAGAGAGATCACAGAGAGACGAGAGAGAGAGTAGAGAGAGAGACTAGAGACCAAAGAGAGACCAGAAAGAGACCAAAGAAAGACCCTAAAGAGACCAAAGAAAGACCAGAAAGAGATCAGAAAGAGAGATCAGAAAGTCAAGCTATAATGGATCAGTTTGTCCTTGTGTAGGATTTTCAGCACATATTTTCAAACTATGAGGTCAGAGCTTCATTCACCCAAACACAGCTCCACGGCTCATTCTGCAGAGTACTGTCCGTGTGTCACTCACTTTGATGTTATTGTGTTTAAGTGATCACAGAGTGACTACAGGTCGCAAGGCGGGTTAGAGGCGCATGCCCTCATTGTGGAAGGTGACCTGAGGTAACAAAGTGAACTTGATGAAAAGCTATAATTTGAGGAAAGAATAGAGCGTGAGTGTTCCAGATGAAGGAGCAGCTCAGAACAGAGACTGACGCTTTCACCCAGACGGTTATCTGAGCTGAAGACGGGTTTACGCCCAGATGAGCTGTTACACATGGTTACCACAGCGAGAGAGGCATCTCGGCTCAGGCTGAAAACCCTGCACCTCTCTGGTCTCTCCCTCTGGTCTCTTTCTGATCTCTCGGTCTCTCTTTGGTCTCTTTCTGGTTTCTCTCTGGTCCATCTGGTCTCTCTCTGGTGTCTGGTCTCTCTCTGGTCTTTCTCCGGTCTCTCTGGTCTCTCTGGTCGCTCTCTGGTCTCTCTCTGGTCTTTCTATGGTCTCTTTGGTCTCTCTCAGGTCTCTCTGGTCTCTCTCTGGTCTCTCTCTGGTATCTCTAGTCCCTCTGGTCTCTCTCTGGTCTCTCTGGCCTCTCTCTGGTCTCTCTGGTCTCTCTCTGGTCTCTCTCTGGTCTCTCTGGTCTCTCTCTGGTCTCCCACTGGTCTCTCTGGTCTCCCTCTGGTCTCTCTTTGGTGTCTGGTCTCTGTCTGGTCTCTGTCTGGTATCTCTTTGGTGTCTGGTCTCTCTCTGGTCTCTCTCCGGTCTCTCTCTGGTCTCCCTCTGGTCTCTCTGGTCTCTCTCTGGTCTCCCTCTGGTCTCTCTGGTATCTCTTTGGTGTCTGGTCTCTCTCTGGTCTATTCTGATGTGTAATAGACTTTGCTGTGACCTTGGCTCTCCTCTCCTTTGTGAGTGTGATGGAGGCTCAGTTACTGCAGCTTTAATTTGTATCACAACATAAAGCACAAGTCCACAGCTCTTCTCCTTTAGTCCATACAGAACAGACTCATGTAAACCTGTGTCTGCACGTAACCAAGGAAACCAGACCCTACTGAGACAAGGCCAGCCACTCTCCAATCTCTCTCTAGTTTCACTCTGGTCTCTCTCTGGTCTCTCACTGGTCTCTCTTTCTGGTCTTTCTCTGGTACCTCTCTGGTCTCACTGGTCTCTCTCTGATCTCTCTCTGTTTCTCTGGTCTCTCTCTGGTCTCTGTCACTATGGTCTCTTTCTAATCTCGTTCCTGTGCTGTGCGTCTCGTTCTTCCTGATGTGTGTTTTGTGTGCGTCTGTGGGGAGCCCCCGGCACACGCCACGCTCAGCGCCTGTTGCCGCGGTGACGGTATATTACCCCCCTGCGGTGACCGAATCGGAGCTGTGGACCCGGATCTACTGCAGAACCACTTATGAAACTCACACAAACACAGGCTTAAAACACTACATTTTGGCTCTGATGAACAGGGAGCTAAGGTCTCTCTTGTCTCTCTCTGGTTTTTCTCTCTGGTCTTTCTCTCTGGTCTCTCTCTGGTCTCTCTCTGGTCTCTTTGGTCCCTCTCTCTTGTCTCTATCTGGTCTCTCTCTCTGGTCTCTCTCTATCTGGTCTCTCTCTCTGGTCTCTCTCTATCTGGTCTCTCTCTCTGGCCTCTCTCTCTGGTGTCTCTCTCTGATCTCTCTCTGGTCTCTCTCTGGTGTCTCTCTCTGGCTTCTCTCTCTGGCCTCTCAATCTGGTCTCTCTCTCTGGTCTCTCTCTGGTGTCTCTCTCTTGTCTCTCTCTCTGGTCTCTCTCTGGTGTCTCTCTCTGGTCTCTCTCTCTGGCCTCTCAATCTGGTCTCTCTCTCTGGTCTCTCAATCTGGTCTCTCTCTCTGGTCTCTCTCTGGTCTCTCTCTGGTGTCTCTCTCTGGTCTCTCTCTGGTGTCTCTCTCTCTGGTCTCTCTGTCTTGTCTCTTTGTGACAGTGTTTCTCTCCTCCACAGACAGGGGGCAGCGCTGGACCCTTCACCCTCAGGAAACAGTGAGTTTGCTTTTGTTTCTCTGTGTGCGTGTGTGTCTACAGCTGTGTATGTGTGTGTGTGTGTGTCTACAGCTATTTGTGTGTGTGCGTGTGTGTCTACAGCTGTGTATGTGTGTGTGTCTACAGCTGTCTCTGTAGACTTGTAGCAAATGCACTCATTTGCAATAAAATTGTAAACGCACAAACATTTTGGCATTTTGTCCCAGGCCAATTAAAACTCTTTGGTCTCAATCTGGTCTCTCTCTCTCTCTTGTCTCTCTCCGATCTCTCTCTGACATCTCTCCGGTCCCTCCCTGCTCTCTCTCTAGTCTCTCTGGTCTCTCTTGCTTGTATCTGAGGAAATGCTCTGGGCGTCCTCAGACTAAAGCTCTCTGCATTGTCATGGTAACCAGAGTATAATGGACTTTCCCATCCTCCTCCTCCTCTTCCTAATGTGAGGTCTATAACACAGGTGTAATGTGAGGTCTGTAACACAGGTGTAATGTGAGGTCTATAACACAGGTGTAATGTGAGGTCTGTAACACAGGTGTAATGTGAGGTCTATAACACAGGTGCAATGTGAGGTCTGTACACAGGTGTAATGTGAGGTCTGTACACAGGTGTAATGTAAGGGTCGGTACACAGGTGTAATGTGAGGTCTGTAACACAGGTGTAATGTGAGGTCTGTAACACAGGTGTAATGTGAGGTCTACACAGGTGTAATGTGAGGTCTGTAACACAAGTGTAATGTGAGGTCTACACAGGTGTAATGTGAGGTCTGTAACACAGGTGTAATGTGAGGTCTGTAACACAGGTGTAATGTGAGGTCTGTAACACAGGTGTAATGTGAGGTCTGTACACAGGTGTAATGTGAGGTCTATAACACAGGTGCAATGTGAGGTCTGTACGCAGATGTAATGTGAGGTCTGTAACACAGGTGCAATGTGAGGTCTGTAACACAGGTGCAATGTGAGGTCTGTAATACAGGTGCAATGTGAGGTCTGTACGCAGATGTAATGTGAGGTCTGTAACACAGGTGCAATGTGAGGTCTGTAACACAGGTGCAATGTGAGGTCTATAACACAGGTGCAATGTGAGGTCTGTACGCAGATGTAATGTGAGGTCTGTAACACAGGTGCAATGTGAGGTCTGTAACACAGGTGCAATGTGAGGTCTGTAACACAGGTGCAATGTGAGGTCTGTAACACAGGTGTAATGTGAGGTCTGTACACAGGTGTAATGTGAGGTCTATAACACAGGTGCAATGTGAGGTCTGTACGCAGATGTAATGTGAGGTCTGTAACACAGGTGCAATGTGAGGTCTGTAACACAGGTGCAATGTGAGGTCTGTAACACAGGTGCAATGTGAGCTCACATTACAACAGCGAGGTGGGCTGTGATTGGCTGACAGGTCTGACATGATGCTTTTGTTCTGTTTCTTTAGACACAAATTAGTCTTTGTTTGAGACACAGAATGTTCAGAGCATTCAAACACAGACTGGAGCAGTCAGGCTCTAAAGCTGGGGATGTGACTTTAAAGCTGGGGGAAGTAACATTAAATATACTTCTGAAATACTATAGTAGAATCGGTATGAATGGCCCTAAACCTCATACTGAATTAAGTCCAGCTCCATCACCTGCCGTCGCCATGGAAACTGCCTCCTGGGTCAGCCAATCATAGGTCTCCGCTAACTCACCTGTTTGAAGAGCCCTACGGGTGATATTCCTTCACAAGTTTGTGTCTCTCCTGGTTCAGTCCTGGTTAAGACCTGGTTTAGACCTGGTTCCATCCTGGTTCGGTCCTGATTTAGACCTGGTTCATTCCTGGTTTCAGACCTGGTCCTGAAATTCTACTGGTTATACGATGATATTGTGGCTTCACCTGCAGGTATAAGCCGGATCCCCTCAGACCTCTGAGGCTAAGCAGGTCAGGGCTTGGATAGTACTGTGATGGGAGACCTCTGGGAACACCAGGTTCCACAGTGGGGCGGCTGCAGCTGCAGCTGTAAAATGCTTACATTAGAATGAGTCTGGTGTGTGTGTGGTTGGTGGTGGTCGGAGGGGCCGATGGCACAGACTGGTTGCCTCGCTTCTGTCAGTGTGCCCCAGGGCAGCTGTGGCTACAGTAGTAGTTTATCACCACCGTGCATGGAGTGCCATGTCAACCACAGAGAGACTAGACACTAGGGGTGTGACGATATATCGCGATATTTTCTCTCGCGATTTGATTATCGATATGCATTTGCCAAGTATCGATATCAATTTACTACTTTTTTTTTGCATTGGTATCATTACTTAATATATGGCTACATTACAAATCTCCATTCTATTTATCATGAAATAAAGAGTATTTTTTCTTTTATTTATGCCATGAATTGGCATATTGTATATTTCTGACCAATATATCAATAATCGTCATATTGTGATAAAATCGTTATCGTAATATCGTTATCGTGATATTATCGTTATCGTGAGCTTTGTATCGTGTATCGTATCGTATCGTGAGGTACCCTTAGGTTCCCACCTCTACTAGACACCAGAGAGAGACTAGACACCAGAGAGAGACCAGAAAGAGACCAGAGATATAGACAGAAAGACCAGAGAAAGACCATAAAAAGACCAAAGAAAGACTAGAGACCAGAGAAAGAGCAGAGCGAGAGACCTGAGAGAGACCAGAAAGATCAGAGAGAGTGACCAGTGAGAGACCAGAGAGAGCAGACCTGAGACTGTAAGTGCAGCGGTTGTGGAGGATTCCTGTGTCGCTCAGAGACTTCAGCTTTTACAGCTCAGTGGAAAGTCACGGCAAAAAAAAATAAAAAAAATAAACTCATTATAATAAGATTTGTTAATTTATCCCATTTATCTGTTTGTGTTTGAATAAAATGTATATATATTTTTCATATAATTTGACTTCAAAAACCATTATTTTACAAAAATAACAAAATATTTGTGTGAAATGCAGAGGAGCCTAGTCATCTATTATTCCATTAAACACATACGTGAGAGAAACCAGAGAGAGAAACCAGAGAGAGACCCCATAGAGACCATAGGGAGACCAGAAAAACCAGAGGGAGAAACCAGAGAGAGACCCCATAGAGACCATAGGGAGACCAGAGAGACCAGAGGGAGAGACCAGAGAGAGACCAGAGAGAGAGAGACTGCACGTGTATTTCAAAACTGCCACATTCTAAATCATGAAATGAAAAGTGAAAACACGGGTAAATAATTGTCGTCTTTGTGATTCTGAAACACTCAAATATTCCGCTGCGATGGTCTCGTTCTCCCTGAAGCCGCATCATTTTAGAAGCCCTCCCCCTCAGTGTGTGTGTGTGTGTGTGTGTGTGTGTGTGTGTGTGTGTGCGTGTGTGTGTCAAGTGTGTTTGCGTGTGTATGTACGTGTGCGTAGCTGCAGTAGTAACAGGTGTAGTGTGAGGCTCCAGTTTGATGCAGTGAGAGGCTGTGTCTCCGCTCTCACACCCAGAGATGAGGCTGTGATCCTGGGCAAAGCCGCGGACTCTACTCCCTCTGGACGTGGATAACAACCAGGGACTTTTATTACTCGTTTAGTCCAAGAAGGAGAGCTCCGACTGGGGAGAGAGTCAGTGGTGAGTGAGCAACAGGCTGGAGACCACTTAAACTGTTCAGACTGGAGCAAGACTAAAGCAGGTCCAAAGCAGGTCTAAAGCAGGTCTAAAACAGATCTAAAGCAGGACTAAAGCAGGTCTAAAGCAGGACTAAAGCAGGTCAAAGGCAAGATTAAAGCAGGACTAAAGCAGGTCTAAAGCAGGACTAAAGCAGGTCTAAGGCAAGACTAAAGCAGGTCTAAGGCAGGTCTAAAGAAGGACTAAAGCAGGTCTAAAGCAGGACTAAAGTAGGTCTAAGGCAGGACTAAAGCAGGTCTAAGGCAGGACTAAAGCAGGACTAAAGCAAGTCTAAGGCAGGTCTAAGGCAGGACTAAGGCAGGACTAAAGCAGGTCTAAGGCAAGACTAAAGCAGGTCTAAGGCAGGTCTAAAGAAGGACTAAAGCAGGTCTAAAGCAGGTCTAAGGCTGGACTAAAGCAGGTCTAAAGAAGGACTAAAGCAGGTCTAAAGCAGGACTAAAGAAGGTCTAAGGCAGGTCTAAAGCAGGTCTAAGGCAGGTCTAAAGAAGGATTAAAGCAGGCCTAAAGCAGGACTAAAGCAAATCTAAAGAAGGTCTAAAGCAGGTCTTGGGCATGTCTTAAGCAGGAAAAAAGCAGGTCTAAAGCAAGTCTAAAGCAGGTCTAAAGCAGGACTAAAAGAGGTCTAAACCTGGTCTAAACCTGGTCTAAATCAAGTCTGTGTGTGATATCTTGGATCCTGCGTCTCTCACATCTGTCTCGTCCAAAACCCAAAATCACACATCTCCACATCGCAGCAGGTGATGAGTGGGCAGTCCTCTTTCTCACAGCCAGAAGGTCCCCTCTGCATGTTCTTCCTGCATCTAGGAAGAACATACAGACGCTTCGGTTTTCCCAGCACCACGTGGAGCTGAACCTGTCTGATCTGTGTCCTCATAGACCACTTTACATTAAATTACATCTGTGTACTGAGGCTAAAGCTGGGTCAGTGAAGCTCAATAGGAAAGTGCTCATAGTGAAGTTTGACTCCTCTCTCTGGCTCCCTTTGACTTTCATGTAAATCAGACTTGGACCTTCAGTATTTTTGACCTCTTTATGCTTATATTCTGTTTAAATGTAGTTGTTTACCTGTTGTTGTTGTTGTTGAGGTTTACCTGTTGTTGCTATTGCAGGCCTGCAGGGGGCAGCGCTGGCAGGCCGTGTCAGTGGAAACGCTGGTCATTGGGAGATGGTCTCCACACAGAAGTGACATCACTGTTCTCTTCAGACCTCCACAGGTGAGACCTAAGACCTGAGACCTCTGATCTCTCTCTGGACTCTCTCTGATTTCTCTATGGATTCTCACCGGTCTCGCTCCGGTTTCTCTTCTATTATGGCCAATAACCGATATTTGCCTTTATCTGTTGATAAAAGTTTGTAAATACTGAATGTAACACTCTTTTTCCAGACTGTATTTTATTTTAGTTAGAAAGGGTGATGCGGGAAAACGCACACAGGAGCTTTTTGTGGCTTAGTATCACTCAGAGTGAAAACTATTTTTAATGCAGTATATGCAGTAGTTATACAAAGAGTAATAGATAAAAATACAGTAAAATAGACAAGAACAAATAGTTACCAATAATAATTTACAGGACATTAAAAACAATATAAATTTAAAATGGCTTTAAAAGTTGTACATTTCATTATATAATAATATTATTGATAAACTTTGTTATATTTATGGTTCCGTAATCGAGTATCCATTAGCAAGCCTGAACATGGATTGAGTGATTGGTTTTACCTGCACTGGCAGATAGGGGAACCTTGCGCTGTTTTCCCCATTGTAATAAACTGCAAGTGAGAAACGCATCCACATCACTCTCGTGGTTTCTTTCCTTATTTCAGGAATGTGTAATTGTTCAGACGCGCAGGAACGGAAAATTGACGCACACTGGAGATAAATACAGCTGAACGTTTCCTCAGGACGCTCGTCCAGCGACCAATAAGAGAGCCGCAAAGTGGTCACGGGGACATTAGTGGTCTGAGCGAGCAGACTGAACATACTGTAAACAGCCAAAACAGGAGCTACACCAGGACTAAAACCAGTGTTGACAATGGGGGACTGTGTGCTTGTGAACATATGCGTTTTCATGCTCCCGTGACTTTATGCAACTGCTTTGAGCGTGTTCGCCGATGCGGAAGTACCGTTTAATAATAAAATAAACGTATGGCGCACCTCCGTGAACACATACATGCTAATTTTTAAAGTCTCTGGAAGGTCTCTGAACACAGAGACCCTGCAGAGCTGCATTATTGGAGAAGAACTTTACACAAAAAGCCGCTAGCTTAACTCCGTTAGCATCAAAGTCCACCCGCTACTTCCGCTAACTTCCGGCGGGCGCCACCGCAGGCCAGGACTTCTGGTCTGAAGACTCCTGCGTCTGAAAATTAGAGAATGTGCGTCTGGTGCGCGAGGCGTCAGCGGTCCAGCGTCAGCGGTCCAGCGTCAGCGGTCCAGCGTCAGCGGTCCAGCGTCAGCGGTCTGAACGCACCTTCACACGTATGCCGTGAACAGTTTGAAGGAGTTCAATTATTTCAATAATGAGGAGGATTAAGCGGCTGTTATAGCGACGACAGTTCTGATCAATAATACAATAAATAAGGCACAAATGTGACCCTTTGTTTTCATTTCGGTGATTTGTTAAAGTGTAAATAATAAAAAGTTTTAAGCTACAGGGGGAAGCGCCGCAGTGTTAAGCTAGCAGCTCAGAATGTATAGGCTGCTTTTAGTTTTCTAAAAGAACACCTTGGTTTGGTTTACTTTAGGCATTTAAAAATGTATTTAACAGTTTTTGGGCAGTTGGGCGGCACGGTGGCTGAGTGGATAGCACTCTCGCCTCTCAGCAAGAAGGTCCTGGGTTCGAATCCCGGTCGGACCAGGGCCTTTCTGAGTGGAGTTTGCATGTTCTCCCCGTGTCTGCGTAGGTTTCCTCCGGGTACTCCGGTTTCCCCTACCACTAAAAATATGTCCAATAGTTCTGGCATGCGCCTCCTGTACCGGCGACCCCGCTCCCATCTCTGTGTGGAGTGAGAGACAAATGCCCATAATTAACAATTGTAAACCGCTTTGAGACTCAGATCTGCAGTGAAAAGGCGGTATATAAATAAAGATTACTTTCCTAAAAATCGATACTCGTTAGATAAACGCATTTTAGCTAAATATTTAGGGTTAGACACGAGCAGTTGCCACAACTGTACACGCCACAGAAAAAGAGCATTTTGACTGTGAATCAGTGAATATTTACATTGTTCTTAATGGGGAGATTTATTTCCTGTCCCTCGCGCCACTCTGTGATGTTAGCTGCAGCCGAGCAATACACATCCGATGCTGATGCCGGTTAAAAAATGATGAACATCGGCTGATATTGATATTTATACCAATATATCGAGCAACCCTACTCTCGGGTCTCTCTCTGGTCTCTCTCTGGTCTCTCTCTCTGGTCTTTCTCTGGTCTCTCTCTGCTCTCTCTCTGGTCTCTCTCTCTGGTCTCACTCTGGTCTCTCTCTGGTCTCTCTCTGGTCTCTCTCTGGTATCTCTCTAGTCTCTCTCTCTGGTCTCTCTCTGCTCTCTCTCTGGTCTCTCTCTCTGGTCTCACTCTGGTCTCTCTCTGGTCTCTCTCTGGTCTCTCTCTGGTATCTCTCTAGTCTCTCTCTCTGGTCTCTCTCTCTGGTCTCTCTCTGGTCTCACTCTGGTCTCTCTCTGGTCTCTCTCTCTGGTCTCACTCTGGTCTCTCTCTGGTCTCTCTCTGGTCTCTCTCTGGTATCTCTCTAGTCTCTCTCTCTGGTCTCTCTCTCTGGTCTCTCTCTGGTCTCACTCTGGTCTCTCTCTGGTCTCTCTCTGGTCTCTCTCTGGTATCTCTCTAGTCTCTCTCTCTGGTCTCTCTCTCTGGTCTCTCTCTGGTCTCTCTCTGGTATCTCTCTGGTATCTCTCTAGTCTCTCTCTCTGGTCTTTCTCTGGATTGCAGTTTTGTTAAAACTCGCCTCAGTCCTTGAAGGCCGCTGCTGTATTACACAGTCCTGCGTTTCCATGGCGATGTATGGAGTCCCAGAGCTGTGTTCTGATTGGTCGCCTTAAGTCGTGACAGGTCTTTGATGTGACCTGGAGACCCACAGAGACGTCAAGTCTGAGGAGAGTCACACTAAACCTCCTCCTGGCCAGTTCAATTCATATCAGTTAAATTCAATGTATCCTTGAATCGTCCTAAATCACAGCATTAGTTATGTCTGGAGACTAAACAAAGTTGTCATTTCTCCAATAAAGATCAGAGAATCAATCAGTTGAAACATGGGAAATGCAAGGATATCAAACACATAGAGACATTGGTCCATAAGGAGCCGAGACCACTGTCCAGAAATGTTGAATGTTGAGTGTCCTGGATCATCAGGGTTCTTAGAGCCTTCTGCATCAGAGAAACAACTCTAAAACACTGTGGGAGAAAAGTGAGAAACCTCAGACCTCAGGGAGAGATCTATTTCCATGGACTGAGGCTGTAGATGTCCTCTCCCTTTTACCTGTGCCCTCAGACGCGCAGCAGCCGTCATGCAGCAGATGCAGAGCCTGCAGCTGACCCCCAGGGGGCGCACTCCTGGCCCCACGTCTCCAAATGCAGCCAAACGTCTTTATCGAAATCTGTCGGACAAACTGCGAGGAAGCTCCGCCTCCTTTGAAGACACGCACTTCTTCGGGAAAACTGAACGTCTACGGAAGGCGTCTGTGAGTACACTGTGCTGGGTCAGCTCTAACCCTCATGAGTCAGCTCTAATCCTCATGAGTCAGCTCTAATCCTCATGTTAGAGTCAGCTCTAATCCTCATGTTAGAGTCAGCTCTAATCCTCATGTTAGAGTTAGCTCTAATCCTCATGTTAGAGTCAGCTCTAATCCTCATGTTAGACTCAGCTCTAATCCTCATGAGTCAGCTCTAATCCTCATGTTAGACTCAGCTCTAATCCTAATGACTCAGCTCTAATCCTCATGTTAGACTCAGCTCTAATCCTCATGACTCAGCTCTAATCCTCATGTTAGACTCAGCTCTAATCCTCATGAGTCAGCTCTAATCCTCATGTTAGACTCAGCTCTAATCCTCATGAGTCAGCTCTAATCCTCATGTTAGACTCAGCTCTAATCCTAATGACTCAGCTCTAATCCTCATGTTAGACTCAGCTCTAATCCTCATGACTCAGCTCTAATCCTCATGTTAGACTCAGCTCTAATCCTCATGAGTCAGCTTTAATCCTCATGTTAGACTCAGCTCTAATCCTCATGAGTCTGTACTTTCATGTATTCAACAGGTGCTTACAAGTCACGATTGTTCCTTCTGTGCGGCGGACATTTTGGATCAATGCTAATGCAGTTAGCGGGCCGTAATCCAGTTAGCATATTTAGCATTGTTAGTAGCTGTGTTTCCTTCACATGTTTTGATCACTGTTGTGAGGAAGGACCAGAAAGAGACCAGAGACAGAGACCAGAAAGAGTAGTAGTAGCAGTATTAATAGTCCAGGGCCTGGTCTCTTTAAAGTGCTACATAAATAAACATGTTCCCTGTGCAGACGATGCAGATCAGTGAGGTCCTGTTGGAGGCCGTGGAGCAGCAGGACCTGGACACGGTTCAGATTCTACTGTTTCAGTTCAGTCCTGAAGAACTGGACCTGAATGCCCCAAACAGTCAAGGACTGACCCCTTTGGACATCTCCATCATGACCAACAACCAGCCCATCAGCAAACTATTGTTGAAGGCAGGAGCCAGGGAGAGTCCCCAGTGTGAGTGTCAATAGGCACACACACACACACACACACACACACACACACACACACACACACACACACACACACACACACACACACACACACACACACACACACACACACACATATACACACAAACACACACAGGTTTAGACCTTGAACAAGTCGACCACAAACGTTCACTCTGTAAATACATTATTTTCCTGGGAACTGTTTTGTCCATCCTCCTGTGGACTCACCACCTGCAGGAGGATCAGTGAGGGGCTGGTGCTCTGTGAACTGGGTGCAGCTCTGGCTGCCACCCCATGACCCAGAAATGGATTAAGGGGAAGAAAATGGATGGCTGTTTTGTCCATGCGACTCTGGTCTCTCTCTGGTCTCTCTCTCTGGTCTCTCCCTGGTCTCGCTCTAGTTTCTCTGGTCTTTCTCTGCTCTCTCTCCCTGGTCTGTCCCCGGTCTCACTTTGGTCTCTCTCTCTGGTCTCTCTCCCTGGTCTCTCTCCCTGGTCTCTGAAAGAGAGATCAGTTAGAGTTACGAGAGAGAGAACAGCTCTCCCTATTCTAGCTGGTCTCCCTGGTCTCTCTTCTGGTCTCTTTCTGTTCTCTCTCTCTAGTCTCTCTCCCTGGTCTCTCACACATGGTTTCTCCTCAGTCTCCTCGGTGGAGTGCAGGGACCAGCTGCTGTCGTCTCTGGTGCAGGAGTCGGAGCAGAGGGCAGCAGACCTGTCGGCTCAGGCCCAGAGAGAAGGTCTATCTCTGGAGGAACGTGAGAAGAACCAGACCCTGAGGAGCTGGGAGTGGAGGAGCAGGCTCTACGCGCGCATGAGGGCGGGTTTCCAGGGCACGCGTGAGTGAAAGCTGAGGGGGCGGGGCTACAGCCTGAGTGACAGCTGAGGGGACAGGGCACGTGTTGCTTTTTACTTTGTACACTCACGATTGTGTGTCCTCCTCTGACTCAAACTTGATCATCAAATATGCTGATGACACCACCATCATCGGTCTCATCAGTAACAATGATGAATCCTCTTATAGAGCAGAGATACAAAATGTGGTTCAGTGGAGTAAAACTAACAACCTCCAGTTGAACGCATCCAAAACATGTGAACTGGTCTACGACTTCAGTCGCAATAGTTCTCATTTGCCTGTCGTAATCGACAACTCCCAGGTGCAGATCGTAGAGGAGTGCAAGTTTCTGGGTTTAACTCTGTCTAACGACCTGAAATGGGTTAAAAACACTGACCGAGTCGTTAAGAAAGCTCGTCAGCGTCTCTACTTTCTGCGTAAACTTAGAGAATTTACCACTAACTCTAAGATTCTGCTTAACTTTTATCGCTGCACCATTGAGAGTTTACTTGTTGGTTCTGTGTCTGTGTGTTTTGGAAACATCACAGATAAAGAAAAGAGCTTTAAACAAGGTGCTCCGCTCTGCAAAGAGGACCGTGGGCTGTGAGCTTCCTGTTCTGGAGGTTCTTTATAAATCCAGACTTTTAAACAAAGCTCTTAGGATTGTCAATGACTCTTCTGGCCACCCTGGGAAAGCCATGTTCCAGCTTCTTCCCTCTGGCAGGAGAAATCGCTCTCTGAGATGCAGGACATCTCGTTACGCTAACAGTTTTTATCCACAAGCTGTTATCAGTGTGAACAGAGCACTTTAATGATTTGCACTTGTTTTGAACTGTTTTAGTCGATCGATTTCACAGTGACTTTTGTTTACTGTTTTGTTTTATTTTTGTCTTGTAATGTTGTTTTATGTCTGTATTTGTCTGTGCACACTGGAGACTTTTTGCAAATGTATTCCAATGTGGTTTTTTTACTGCAAATGGCAAATAAACTGAATCTGAATCTGAATCTGAGTGACAGCTGAGGAGGCGGGACAACAGCACAAAGAGAGTCAGATAAAGGCAGGGCAGCATCATACTGTGGGGCTGCTTTTCTTCAGCAGGGACAGGGAACATTGTCAGAGCTTCCCGGTCTGACCTCTGACCATGGTCTGTTGCAGGTCCTCCAGAAGCCCCATCGATGATGCGTCTGACAGTGAGCAGCAGCTCCACCCTGACTGTGAGTTTCCAGGAGCCACAGGGTCTAAACTGTGCTGTGGTCACCAAGTATAAAGGTAAGTATAGTACTCGAGTACTGCAGTACCAGTGACGTGCGGTGAGGTTGGTGATTGGTGAGGCACTAACTTCAGCCCAATCAGATGTACATATATATATCATATAAATCAACACGACCTATAGAGCGGCTTATTCACAATTTGTTTGGCTAAGCAGAATATGTTTCATGCCCGCATTGTTTGTTCATACAAAACGCAAAAGTATGTAAAAAGCACATTTCAGAGTGTCTTATGGGTCTTACCTTAAACATAAACTGCACAAACCACTTCAGTTCAGACCAGTTTCATGTTTAAGTCCAGATAATAGTTTCATGTAATCCTCCATTTGGAAATAAGTCCAATGAGTTTTAAAAAGTAAAACAAAACGGGTCTCTCCTCCATAAACGCCTCTCGTGTTTTGCTAGCAGCAGCCTCTCGGGTGCATCCAATTTCTAATATCAACCTTACCCTTCACTTCTCTTCCTTATCATTCATATCATCATTAGAAGCATAAAATTACCCTAAGTGCATTTTAAATTATCTAAAAATGTGTTATGTATGTTAGCCAAACCTGTAGCTGCCCTTAGCAGGAGAACAAGAAAGGGGCTTTCTGATGAAATTGGATGCAGTCGAATTCTGCGCTCACATGCGCCCCCCTGAGGCTGGCCTCACTTGGTGATATTACAAGCTGTGGTTGAGCGCGATTAAGACCCATATTTGTTGTCAAAAATGTGGATTGTAAATGAAATATGAAGAGAAAACATTTCAATAGCAGCACACGGGCCTCTCCCCCAGTGAGCTATCGGCTTTTACGTCTCTCAAGTGAGGCTCGGCTCACAGCACCACTCTGTCAAATAGGTAAAATAAATTAAATAAGGAAAAGTTACATTGAATTAATACGAAAGCACAAATCACTTGATATAATGACCGAATATTATTGTTTCCATTTTATTCTTTTTTCTTTCCATAATCTTAGGTGAGGCCGGGCCTCACCTGCCTCATCTGATTGCACGTCACTGTGTAGTACTAAAGTACTACTACACTACTGGTCTCTCTCTCTGGTCTCTCTCTGGTCCTGGTCCTGGTTTCAGACCTGGTCCTGATCTTGGGCTTGGCCCTAGGCTTGACCTTAAACCTGGCACTGGCCCTGGTCCTGGTCTCAATTCTGGTCTAATTTCTGGTCCTGGCCCTGGTCTCAGTCCTGGTCTCACTCCGTTCTCTCCTCAGTCCAGTGGAGCTGTCTTCAGGACTTCTCTCTTGTCGCTGGTGAAACTGTTCTGGAAAACCTTCAGAGTCTGAGGTTCTGCATCACTGGCCTCACCACGGTAATACTCACCCCCTCCTCCTCTGTTGTGTCTTCCTCATGTGTCCTCCCCTGACCTCCGCCTCGTCCTCCCCCTCTGTCCTCCCCTTCTGTCCTCACCCCCCTCCCTCTCTGACCTCCTCCTCATGTCTTCACCATGGCTCTATAACAATAACTGGATAGAGTATTACTAGCTTATAGCTGTCCCACCCATTGGCACAGGGGGCGCCTGTGGTACTGCAGACTAAATTCACGTGGGCTACCCAGAAATTTTCCCCATAAATCCCAATGTAAACTAAACCAGCTTTCATAAAGATTGGATTTTGTGGGGATTTTAGTGTCCCTTGTCATCCTGAATTTGTTTTTCTTCTTAAATCCTTCGGTTTAAGAAGAAAACTCTGCTCTTTTCCTTCCCGCTCTGGCTCCGCTCTGCTGCTGCTCTGATCAGCAGCTCTGATTGGTCAGAACACGGCCGAGCCCCTCTGTGCACGTGCATAAGAGCCACACACACGTATTTGGCGCAACGCATTATGGGAGCTCGTCCACTGCGCAGAACCGGGAGGACCAGACGATGCCCAAATATAGGCGAGTTCCGCTAATATGTCAGCACTCGCGATGTACCATTCCTACCTACTGAGCACAAGCCATTCATTTGAATAGGGCGCAATCTTGGATCACCAGGGGTTGGTCTTCATCCCTTACCGTCTCTGCCTTCAAACTCCCTAAACAACATACATGTGAAAACTAGATCAGGATCCCAGGTTTTAATAAACACAGATGTTTGTTTTTCAGGGTCAAGTTTATTTTGTTCGAGTTTCTGCGTTTAACATGAAAGGCTGGGGTCCTCCTGCCACCGCCCAACCTCCAGGAGCAGCTCCATCTAGTGAGTACTGCTGCTGCTGCTGCTGTTGCTACTGCTGCTGCTAATTCCGAGACTACATGTGAACAGAGTACCACAAGAGATTTGTTCTGGGCCCATAAATATTCACAGATGTATCACTGCTTGGTAGTAATAGTGGTATTCCTGTGTAGTAATAGTACTCCTGTGTTTTCAGACTGGAGAGACTGCGACGGCCGCGAGCAGAAGCGCAGAAGTCAGACTGACGCCATGGAGAAACTTCTACTGCAAGTCCAGAGTACACACTCCGAGTACTGCAGCGGGGGTGAGGAGTGTACTACTACTATCTCTGCTACTAGTGTCTCTCTGGTCATTCTCTGGTCATTCTCTGGTCATTCTCTGGCTCTACAACTGGTTTTCTGGTTGCAGATGTGAAGCTTCAAAACTCGAGGAAACAGTCCGTGTCCCGGAGTCTGAAACATCTTTTCAGCAACAACAAGTTCATCAAGACACTCAAGAGGTCAGAGGTCATGTGATGTCACATGACCAAACGAGTGTGGTTTCACATCATGGTAGAGCATAGCTGAAACATCTCTCCTGTTATCAGCAGTGCTCCTCCTCTCTTACTCCTCCCCTTTCATTCCTCCTTTCCTCCTGCCTCACTCCTCCTCTCTGACTCCTCCTCCTGTCTTCCAGAGGAGTGTACCTGGCCACAGTGCTGTTCCACAGAGACTGTCTCCTCCTCACGGCTGAGGACCATGTTCCCATTGTGGAGGTGGACGACAGCTTCGGCAGCTCGCTCCTGCAGGACTTCCTTTGGTTCACCAAGGTTTGTGGACTCCTGTCCCGTTCCTCTCAGATGTCTGTTAAAGCTTTACTTTTGTCCCGTTCCTCTCAGATGTCTATTAAAGCTTTACTTTTGTCCCGTTCCTCTCAGATGTCTATTAAAGCTTTACTTTTGTCCCGTTCCTCTCAGATGTCTGTTAAAGCTTTACTTTTGTCCCGTTCCTCTCAGATGTCTGTTAAAGCTTTACTTTTGTCCCGTTCCTCTCAGATGTCTGTTAAAGCTTTACTTTTGTCCATTCCTCTCAGATGTCTGTTAAAGCTTTACTTTTGTCCATTCCTCTCAGATGTCTTGCATGTGGGAAGATGTGCGGTGGCTGAGGCAGAGTATGTCTGTTTCCATGTCGTCGTCTTCAACTCTTCAAACACGACACAAGATGCTGACGGCAGCTGCTCACATGCAGGTACTGGTACTGTACTACTGTACTACTGTAGTACTGTACTACAATAGTACAGTAGTACCACAGTAGTAGTAGTGTTGAATGCTCTCCCTCCGCAGAGCTTGCTGGGCACACATAACCTTGGTCGTGCGCACTATGAGCCCATTAAGGATCGTCATGGTAACGTGCTGCTGGTCACCGTGCGGGAGGCGGAGTCTCAGAGCTCCGCCCTCAACGGGAAGTGGACCTCGGTCACCAAACTCCAGAGTCAGAGGAAGAGTCTGTCTACACCTGAGGAACCATATGCACTGGACATCCTCATCATCACCATGCAGGTACTACAGGTACTACAGGTAGTACAGGTACTACAGGTACAGGTACTGCAGAGTCAGAGGAAGAGTCTGTCTACACCTGAGGAACCATATGCACTGGACAACCATGTAGGTACTAAAGGTACAGCCACAACAAGTACTACAGTTACTATAATTCGATTTGACCGTCCCCTCCTCTCCTCCTCTCTGTAGACCTAGAGTTGACCCTCTCCTCCTCACCTCCTCTCTGTAGACCTGGACTTGACCCTCTCCTCTTCTTTGTAGGACCTTCTCTCGTACCATCGTCGCAGCTGCTATCGTCTCTCTTCTGGTCTGTACCTGGGGTACCTGAAGCTGAGCTCCTCTGTGGATCAGATCAGAGTCCTGGTGTCTCAGAGGACTCCCAACATGCTCCCCCACGTGAGGGTCCGAGATAACAGCAACGTGTCCAGGTGAGCTACTGCTACTACTGCTGCTGCGACTACTGCTACTACTGCTGCTACTGCTACTGCTGCTGTTACTTTTACTACTGCTGCTTCTGATACTGCTGCTGCTACTACTACTGGTGCAACTGATGCTAATACTGCTCTTGTGTTTTCAGGGAGGAGTGGGAATGGATCCAGAGATTGGCTGCTTCCTCGTCCAGCGCAGCTGTGATTGGTGGAGAAGCTCAGGAGGCGGGACTTGCAACTCAAAGAAACACCCCTATGCTTTACTACGAACTTCAAACAGCGATAAAAGCTTTACTAAAGATCCTCAACCTACAACCGAGTCAGGTCTGTGCAGAGATGAGCCGGGCCAAACAAGGTCTGTGCAGAGGCGAGCCCATGGATCTATAATACTATCTGGACAGGGTATTACCAGTGGGGGAGGGTCCCAGCTCAAAATTGGCCAAAATGACGTGCGCTGACATGCTTGCAATACCACCCCGGGCCGATGGGGGTGGACCCAGAAGTAGAATTAGCCAATGCTAACATATAGCATTGGCAGACCTCTCAAAAACGTCTTTCCAGGATGGACCAAAAGTTGGCTCTTGGCCCAAAGCTCCGTTCCACATGTGTGTCAATGCTGAGGGGGGTGAATATTTTTTGGTCCACTCTAGTTTACTTGCTGTGAATTTTTGAAGTCTCTCGTTCAAATGAATGGAGTTGCGCCGGCTGACGCATGCGCAGATGCGTTTTTTCACAATTTTCTTGTGGGCGGGACCACTTTTGGATAGCTCCCGAGTAGAGCACATTTTTTGGCCCATTAGTTAGAACGGCGGAGATAGGCGTGACTCTGTCCGTTAATATGGGTATTACTAGCTTATAGCTGTCCCACTGTAGTGCTGCAGACTAAAGTCTTGTGGGCGACCCAGAATAGTGTCCCGTAGAACTCACTGTAAACTAAAACAGCTCGACCTCAGCTGACAGAGAACCTACAGATTTCATAATGATCGGATTTTGTGGAGATTTTAGTGTACCTTGTCATCCTTGTTAAATACTTCGGTTTTCTATAAATCTACACTTTAATGCAACAAACTTAGCTTGTTTGTCTCCCGCTCCACTCTGATCACCAGCCGCTGATTGGCCAAGCCCCTCTGTGCACATGCATTAAGCGGCGTTCACACCGGACTCAACTTCCACTTCAAAAGCGTAAGGTTTGCATTGAAAATGAATGGTGAAGCGCGTCAGGTGACGCGAGGGGCCCGGTGTCATTTGACGCGCATCAAAAGTTTCAAAAGATCCAAGCGTTATGTGCGTCACTTGAAGCTTTTGACGCGCGTAACGCTCGTGTCTCTTTCTGCGTCAAAAATCCCTTGACGCCAAAGTTGAGAAAAGCTGAGCTTTTCGAGCTTGACACCGGGCTTCAACCAATCAGGGGATGAGGAGAAGCAGCAGCAGCAGCAGGGCTGTCATGGAAAGAAGTCATGTAGCTGGTGCTGCTGTTTTTTTATTGTCATTATTGTAATTAGTAATATTATATGTATAAATAGTAACATTCTTAATAAGGAAGTAACAAAATCAATGTACACATGCTGTGAAGTAAAAGTAATTTATTTAATAACAAAACAAGCTGAGGCGGGGGCGAGACGAGCTCTAGGCGAGGGCGAGGCGGGGTGCGAGTACTCAAACTGGGCGAGTGACATGCGGAAGTACCGCTGAAAACTAAACTCATCCGTACGCAGCTCCTGGAGTAAATGGTGAAACTCAGCAAACACTGCAGCCTAAAGTCTGTGGTGAACCCAGAACACGTTTTATAGAAACCCTACGACAACGTTGTTTGGCTTTATATAACAACTAAAGGCTCGCTGCTCTCGGGAAATTGTCTCTGGACTATACCGGCAATGGAGAAGCTCCTCCAAGTGACGCGTCAGGCGCGTCACTTGGAGGAGCTTCAAGCACCAAAATGTCAACAACAAAAAACGGCGTTGAAAGCGTTCTGAAGCTTTTGGTCTGAACGCACTTTTAGAGTCACACACGCGTATTTGGCGGCCTGTGCAGAGGCGAGCGTAGGTTTTATCTGCGTAGGTTTCCTCCGGGTGCATGGGGGAGGGCACCATGAGTAAGCATGGTGCCCTCCCCCCATGCACCTCCTCCTTCTCTCTCCTCAAACCTGTGGGTTCAGACTCCTCCATCAGGAGGAGATGCTTACTCATGGTGCCCTCCTCCTTCTCTCCTCAGACCTGTGGGTTCAGACTCCTCCATCAGGAGGAGATGCTTACTCATGGTGCCCTCCTCCTTCTCTCCTCAGACCTGTGGGTTCAGACTCCTCCATCAGGAGGAGATGCTTACTCATGGTGCCCTCCTCCTTCTCTCCTCAGACCTGTGGGTTCAGACTCCTCCATCAGGAGGAGATGCTTACTCATGGTGCCCTCCTCCTTCTCTCCTCAGACCTGTGGGTTCAGACTCCTCCATCAGGAGGAGATGCTTACTCATGGTGCCCTCCTCCTTCTCTCCTCAGACCTGTGGGTTCAGACTCCTCCATCAGGAGGAGATGCTTACTCATGGTGCCCTCCTCCTTCTCTCCTCAGACCTGTGGGTTCAGACTCCTCCATCAGGAGGAGATGCTTACTCATGGTGCCCTCCTCCTTCTCTCCTCAGACCTGTGGGTTCAGACTCCTCCATCAGGAGGAGATGCTTACTCATGGTGCCCTCCTCCTTCTCTCCTCAGACCTGTGGGTTCAGACTCTTCCATCAGGAGGTGGTGGAGCTCGGTCATGGCGTCTCATTCTTGCTCCTCCTGCCGGCAGCTGACGATGTGTGTTCTGCTCCAGGACAAACTCCTCTCTGCCCACGGTCTGGGTTCCTCCACCTGCCCCTGCAAATGTTTGAACTAGGTACCTTTAGTTCTGCTTTTGTCTTGCTTTGGACATGCTTTAGTCCAGCTTTAGACCTGCTTTAGACCTACTTTAGACCTGCTTTGGTCCTGCTTTAGACCTGCTTTAATCCTGCTTTAGACATGCTTTAGACCTGCTTTGGTCCTGCTTTAGACCTGCTTTAGACCTGCTTTAGACCTGCTTTAGGGCGAGAGTGGCTTAGTTGGTAGAGCATTGGCCTTTGGGCCTGAAGGTCGTGGGTTCGAGCCCACCGTAAGACTTACTTCACGACTCCCACTGATGACTGCTGTCGTTGTGTCCTTGGGCAAGACACTTAACCCCACTTTGCCCAAAGCCCCCACTGAAAGATCTCAGCTCCTGTGGACTCACCACCTGCAGGAGGATCAGTGAGGGGCTGGTGCTCTGTGTACTGGGTGCAGCTCTGACTGCCACCCCATGACCCAGAAATGGATTAAGGGGAAGAAAATGGATGGATGGATGGATAGACCTGCTTTAGACCTGCTTAAGTCCTGCTTAAGTCCTGCTTTAGTCCTGTTTTAGACCTGCTTTAGTCCTGTGCAATCCTGGTTAAGTCTTGTGTCCACAGTCCACCTGTCCTCGTATAAGGAGCGCCTCCTCAGTCTGTACTGTCGGATTTCCTCGGTCCTGGACCTAGACCTCCTCCTCACACAGCAGAGTTTGAGAGAAGCCATCACTGATACTGAGGTCTGCATCTCCAAGAGAAGGAGCCAGACCATCCAGGACTACAACCAGGTGAGCCAGGCCATCAGGACTACAATCAGATGAGACCACACCAGGGTGTAGAGCAGTGGTTCTTAACCTGGGTTAAATGCGTACCTCTGAGCCTGTGCTGCAGAGGTACGGACACACACAGATGCAACACTGTTTTGGAGCGTGTATCAAAACAGCCGTAAACAGCGTGACAATGTCTCGGACTCTGCATCACTGCTTTGCTGTGTTTGCTGTGTCAGTGTGTCGAAGCGGTTCATTGGTTCGATGCACTTGAAACAGTCTCAGGCTCAGAGCGCTACGGGGCTTCATATGTCCAGTTATTACTAAGAAGTCCTGGATTTTTTAATACCATTTGTTACAACATATCTTTGCAAGCAATCCTTTTCAAGGATGCTGGACATAAAAACAAAGAAAAGGAACAGACTTTGCTGTGAAAATGACATGAGAGTGACACTTGCCAAAGAAAGGCATATTTGAACTGGTCTCTCAAAGGCAACAGCAGAAGTCACACTCATTGTGTTGGTTTTATTCTATGTATGAACCAGGTGATGTTCATGCACGGCTCATCATTTTCTGCACCACTAAAGACATATGTCTTGTAAAAACACCATTTATTTTTTGAGGGCTTAGGTGAATGCTCATATATAACTGGTGGGGTTCTGTCCCTCCAACAAGCTTTAGAACCACTGATCTAGAGAGAAACCAGGGACCAGACCAGACCAGACCAGAGAAGGTGTCTCTTTGGTCTAAGTCTCCTTCTCTCCTCTTGCTCCTATCTTCCTCCTGCTCCTCCTCCTCCTCTCTCTACAGCAGTTGGAGGAGATGCGCAGAGACCTCCGGTGGCTGACTGAGGCATTGCAGTTTGCTCGGTACAAACAACCGAGAGGAGGAGTCCCTGTACTGGCCCTGTTGCCCTCCCACTCGGACCTCCCTCATAAGAGTGGCTCCACCTCCTCCACCATCGACTCCTCCATCACCTCCTCCCCTGAGCTAAGGCAAAGACAGCCCCCCAGTGGTAAGTTTGAGCCACTCACAGGAGAGAGAGGAGAGAAGAGAGAGACAGGAGAGGGGGTGGAAGGGGGAGAGAGGAGTAAAGAGAGAAAGGAGAGGTGAGAGGAGAAAAGAGGAGAAAGGTGAGAGAGGAAAGAGCGGGGAGAGAGAGGTCAGAGAGGTCCATCATCTTCATCTAAAAGACATTCACCTCCTCTTTCACCTCCTCTTCTGCAGACACTGTGTGCTCTGATGAAGACTGCTCCTCCGAAGTCTTTCTCCCCACAGACAGTGACTATGACTCCAGTGAGGCCCTGAGCCCCCGCCTCTCCCTCTGCTCCCCCCCCTCCCCCCACACAGAGCCTCTCCGGAGACAGGCACTAGGGGGCAGCGCTCCAGACAGACTCAGGTGAGAGTCACAAAAACGTCAACAGGAGAGCGAATGGGAGGGGCCAATGGGAGGGGCCAATCATGTAATTTTGGTGTTCTGGTCTAGTTCTGACATTTATGTGTTTTTAGCCTCTGTCACAACTTTACTATTTTTTTGTTTCCAGGTGCAGCATATCACACTCTGACCTCTCCCCCTCCCTCCCCCTCTCCCCCTCCCTCCCTCTCTCTCCCTCCCTCCCTCTCTCTCCCTCCCTCCCTCTCTCTCCTGCCATCAGTGAAGCCTCCTCATCACTGCAGCTGCTGTCTCTGTCCGTGCCCAGACCAGAGATCGGACCAGAGACCAGACCAGAGATCAGACCGGAGACCGGACCAGAGACCAAAGCAGAGACCAAACCAGGTCCCAGACCCTTGCCCAAACCAGTCAGTGCTCCGTCCAAACGTAAGCTGCTCTCGCGCTCCACCAGAGGGCAGTACTTCAGTGGACCTCAGCGATGGATCAGAGCACAGAACAGAGAGACCAGTCTGTCTGAAGGAGTCTACACGCGGAGCAAGGAGGAGGTGCACACAGGTATGAGTCTGAGGCAATCTACACCAAACGCAAGGAGGTGCACACAGGTACAGGTCAGAGGCAGTCTAAACCAGGAGCAAGGAGGAGGTGCACTCAGGTACGAGTCTGAGGCACTCTACACCAGGAACAAGCAGGAAGTTCTGACATGTACAAGTCTGAGGGAGTCTACACCAGGAGTAAGGAGTAAGGAGGAGGTGCACACAGGTACGAGTCTGAGGGAGTCAACACCAGGAGCATGAAGGAGGTGACAGGTACAAGTCTTAGGGGAAAGGAGACAGAGTGTACATCAGGAGGAGGAGTTTGATTGACACCTGTCTTTAATCTTGTCTTGTTTATTTGCAGGGGATACATTCATAAGCCATGCCTCTTGCGTCCTTGAGAAACGCCGCCGCGAGCCCCACCCACACGTGCGGCGCATCTTCACCGACGCTACAACAACAGAGACCTGTGACATCACCACTGACATCACCAGTGACATCACTGCTGAGCTTGGGGGGAGGGGTTTCACTTTGGGGGCTGGGCCTGAGCAGGAAGTGGATTCAGACGAACAAACAAACGCTCAGGTGCAAGAGATCCTCAGCAGCACTTTATGAAAAGAAGCTAACGGAGGCTAGCAGTGGCTAACATAAGCTAAAGGAAGCTAGCAGCATCCAACAGGAGCTAACAACGACTAAGACGTCACAACTCCAGCGGCCATTTTGAGAAGTTAACAGCCTCAGCCACATCTGCCGCAAGTCTTGAGTTTACCGTGCAGAGACTATGCATTCAAAGTATTTATTTAAGTATATTGTTCGAGTTTGTATGCAACGGCAGCTTAAGAAACACAAGACTTTGAATATTTATGGAACTCAGTTCTGTCCCCACTTGCAAAAATGCCAGTATTACATGCTCCAGTCCTGTTTCAGTCCAGGTCTAGTCTTGGCTCAGTCCTGGTTCAGTCCTTCCGGCTCAGACTGTTTGACAGAGAAATTCCACTGTTACATGAATAAAGTTTAAATGTTTATGAGTCAAACAGGAATCTGTTGTTTGTCATAAATACACACACATACATATACACACACTTAAACAAACAGAGAGACACATAGACGGACGCAGAATAAATGTGATTAAATTAATTCCTATCCCCTACGGACCAATGACCCCTACTACTCCTCTGGTATTTCTCTCGTCTCTCTCCTGTCTCTCTGGCTTTCTCGCGTCCGCCTGACTACGGTGGCCGCGTGGGGTCTGGCTCAAACGCAGACATGGAGGGCGTCACGGTGGGACAGGTTTTTGACGCCGAGTGCATCCTGAGCAAACGGCCCAGAAAGGTACCTCCAAACCCGGCTACGCACACAGCCATAGCCCTCCCCCCGTCCTCTGCGCCCTGCCCTCGCTAAACGTGTGCTCTCTGTCCGCAGGGGAAGTTCGAATACCTGGTGAAGTGGCGCGGATGGTCCTCCAAGTGAGTGCTGACCCTGGATGTAGCATTAGCGTTAGCATTAGCGTTAGCATTAGCTCCGCAGCATCAAAACAAACGGAAAGGCCGTGGTTATCTCCTGTTTATTTACCCATTTTTGCTCTTGTCTTTGCATAAAGCACCGGAGATATGCGTGAGGTGTTTACGCGTTGATTTTTTTGTAAAATACTTAAATGATAGGTTTTCTGTGTAAAGTTTTGGCTGATGTTGGGATCACATCAGCTGAATGTTCAGAACCCGCTCTGTATTTTGTTGTAAATCATGTATTAAGTTTACAATTCGTGCTCAATTTGCTCTTTATATCCATTCCTCTGCATAAGCTTCCCTTCTGTTAACTTTTGGTATTTATAACGGTTAATATACTTCATGTCTTGGGTGTGTAATTTTCAAACCACATAGACTGCATATAGATGGACAATGCTAACACGCTAGCTCAATGAATACAATAACCAGGACCGACACCGTGCATAGGTTAAAGGTGGGGTCCGTAACTTTCAGACCACAAATAGAACTCCATGTCTCCATCGCTCTAAAACGGAGACCTCAACCTCAAAAATACTAGAAATAGATAGATAGATAAACTTTATTTGCGGACTCGAGGTCCAAAGACACAAGACAAGAAAACAAATAAATAAAATAAAATACACAACAGACAATAAAAACCTCTAATCTTTCAAGAGGCAGGCATACCAGTGTTTCCAAAGCAGCGATGTGTATCGCACCTCGCTGCACACAACACTGGACAATAAAATAATCACCGAATTTTTTGAATCATTCAGCCGACATATAAACTTAAACATCAGATTTCTCAGGACAGCTTGCAAAGTGTTTACTCTATTTGACACAAAGAGATCACTGGCTCTAGTCCATCGGGGCTTTTTTAATAAAATTCTCAACGCATCGTTGTAAGCAACTGTAAGTTGTAAATAGTTCTAGTATTTTTGAGGTTGAGGTCTCCGTCCTGGTCTATTTTTCACATGTATCTCTGGCTTGTCACATCTTAAAGGTATATAGGAAAATGTTGTACTTCTGGGTGGATAATAGACTATTGGTCCTCCCAAGAGAGTTCTGTTCAAAAAGTGGAGATGGTGGTTCTTTCCTAATATTTGGGGAAATCGTCCTAATATACCTTTTTTTTAAGATCAGCTTTTTCAGACAGAAAAGTGAAACAGAGAGGACCACTCTCACTCAGCCAATCAACTCTCAGCCCAAAGAGTCAGATAGTGCTTGCATTGAGTTGCTGTGCGCACTGCCTCTCCCGCACATGCTGTTCCTCGCACATACATGCGTAACCAGTGACACAGCATTGAAACACGACAACTATGTTTCCACGAACACAAATTGCCGCGTGTTTTTGACTCAGGCAGGTTATACATAATCTATTTTTTCAGGAAAACAACCAAATGTGATGTATTCTAACATTTTAACCCAATAACACCATTAGAATTTAAATATTTCAATATACAATGTGTTTAACTTTATAGTTGATCCAGTTTTGGTTCAATCTAAACAATAAATGCATTTTGTTTTCAGAAAAACAAACCAGAAAAAACATATTAGAATTCCTTCATAATGTAAAAAACTATTATAAGAAAATCTCCTATTGTTTCGGCCCCCAACCAGTTCCCTAGATTTTTTTAATCGGCCCCTGACCAAAATGAGTGTGACACCCCGCATTAAGGCCTGACACAGCTGGTAAAACAGACCTGTAAAACCTGAGGCCGACTTCAGAACCACCTCCAAAACCTGAAGTTTTCCTGAAATTCAACGTCTACTAAATGATTGACATCTCGGCCTCTGTAGCAGATAGAAACATCATTTCAAAAGTATTTGAGAGCTGATACTTGTGGCTGTCAATAAGAATGGAATGTATTATAAACCTTCAGTATAATAACACAAAACATAAACAACTTCCACACAGGAAAGGTAATAAAGGAAAGGTAAGTCAAAAACAGCTTGGCAAAAAAGTGGCACTAACTATGGAAAAAAATATTCCACTCTCAGCCCAAAATGTCAAATAATGACTCACAGGGCTCTTTCTTAAGTAAGCAAAATAAAAAACAACTGTTGTGGTTTGTTTTGTTTGATTTGTTCACAACATTTTACTTTTGTGCACAAAAAACATGTACAGTGCCTTGCGAAAGTAATCGGCCCCCTTGAACCTTTCAACATTTCGCCACATTTCAGGCTTCAAACATAAAGATATAAAATTTAATTTTTTTGTCATGAATCAACAACAAGTGGGACACAATCGTGAAGTGGAACGAAATTTGTTGGATAATTTAAACTTTTTTTAACAAATAAAAAACTGAAAAGTGGGGCGTGCAATATTATTCGGCCCCTTTACTTTCAGTGCAGCAAACTCACTCCAGAAGTTCAGTGAGGATCTTTGAATGATCCAATGTTGTCCTAAATGACTGATGATGATAAATAGAATGCACCTGTCTGTAATCAAGTCTCCGCATAAATGCACCTGCTCTTTGATAGTCTCAGGGTTCTGTTTAAAGCGCAGAGAGAACCATGAAGACAAAGGAACACACCAGGCAGGTCCGAGATACTGTTCTGGAGAAGTTTAAAGCCGGATTTAGATACAAAAAGATTTCCCAAGCTTTAAACATCTCAAGGAGCACTGTGCAAGCAATTATATTGAAATGGAAGGAGTATCAGACCACTGCAAATCTCCAAATCCCCACTGCAAATCTCCAAATCCCTCCAAACTTTCATCTCAAACAAGGAGAAGACTGATCAGAGATGCAGCCAAGAGGCCCATGATCACTCTGGATGAACTGCAGATAACTACAGCTGAGGTGGGGATGGTGTGTTCAGGGTGATGAGCTGTGTTGCTTTTACGCCAAACATATGGTAAGTAAGTAAGCTTTTATTTATATACCGCCTTTCACAGACCAGAGTCACAAAGCGGTTTACAATTGTTAATTTTTGGGCATTTGTCTCTCACTCCATACAGAGATGGGAGCGGGGTCGCCGAACAGGAGGCACATGCCAGACCTATTGTACATATTTTTAGTGGTAGGGGAAACCGGAGTACCCGGAGGAAACCTACGCAGACACGGGGAGAACATGCAAACTCCACTCAGAAAGGCCCTGGTCCGGCCGGGATTCGAACCCAGGACCTTCTTGCTGAGAGGCGAGAGTGCTATCCACTCAGCCACCGTGCCGCCTGGTTTTGCATTGTGCCCAAAAAGTTTGATTTTGGTTTCATCTGACCAGAGCACCTTCTTCCACATGTTTGGTGTGTCTCCCAGGTGGCTTGTGGAAAACTTTAAACGAGACTTTTTATGGATATCTTTGAGAAATAGCTTTCTTCTTGCCACTCTTCCATAAAGGCCAGGGGCCGTATTCCTAAAGATTCTGAGAGTCCTCTCAGAGAGCTCTTATCTTAACCTAAAAACTCCTAGCTAGGAGTCTTAGCTTAAAAGTTATTCCAGAATTCCATGGCTGTGGTATTTATAGACTTATAAGGAAGTAAGGAAACAATATTAATATAAACATATTATACATACACTGTACAAATCAAGTACAAGGGAGCTTAAAAGTCTTATCCTCTCCCACTCCTTTTTGAGCTGAATTGTTGTTAATAAAACAAAACTGTATATTTGTACTTCTATTCTGTTGTTGTTTTGTTTGTTTTTGTCCTTTTTTCTTGTTTGCCATGGCTCAAAATAAAGTATTCATTCATTTGTACTGAATGTGTGACAATTTAGGACCACTTTTTCCTCTCTTTCAACTTTTACCATTTCTACTTACTTTTGTGTAACAAAGGTAAAATGGATGAGGTGTTATTGCTGACCAGCCAATAAGAAGCTGGTCACATGATTGACTTTTAAATATACCACAAACATGATTCCTGCTTGAATCTGTAGCGTTTCACTGATTCACTGTCATCCAGTGTATAGAATCTTTCTCCTGTCTCCACCGTCCACCATTTTGAGCTCTTAGGGAACTTTTAAGTCGCTAAAAGTCCTCCTCTCAACTCTTAAGGGATCTCCCCTTAAGAGCACTCTTAAGAGCTAGGATTTTTTAGGAATAGCTTTTATCTTAACTAGGAGCTACTCCTCACTTTTAGGGGAAATTCTAAGAGTTGGTCAAGATTCTAAGAAAATTCTTAGAATTTGGCCACTAGGAGCAACTTTTAGCAGTAAGAATCTTTAGGAATATGGCCCCAGATTTGTGCAGTGCACGACTGATTGTTGTCCTATGGACAGACTCTCCCACCTCAGCTGTAGTTATCTGCAGTTCATCCAGAGTGATCATGGGCCTCTTGGCTGCATCTCTGATCAGTCTTCTCCTTGTTTGAGATGAAAGTTTGGAGGGACGGCCGGGTCTTGGTAGATTTGCAGTGGTCTGATACTCCTTCCATTTCAATATAATTGCTTGCACAGTGCTCCTTGAGATGTTTAAAGCTTGGGAAATCTTTTTGTATCCAAATCCGGCTTTAAACTTCTCCACAACAGTATCTCGGACCTGCCTGGTGTGTTCCTTTGTCTTCATGGTTCTCTCTGCGCTTTAAACAGAACCCTGAGACTATCAAAGAGCAGGTGCATTTATACAGAGACTTGATTACACACAGGTGCATTCTATTTATCATCATCAGTCATTTAGGACAACATTGGATCATTCAAAGAATCTCACTGAACTTCTGGAGTGAGTTTGCTGCACTGAAAGTAAAGGGGCCGAATAATATTGCACGCTCCACTTTTCAGTTTTTTATTTGTTAAAGTTTAAATTATCCAATAAATTTTGTTCCACTTCACGATTGTGTCCCATTTGTTGATTCATGACAAAAAATTGAAATTTTATATCTTTATGTTTGAAGACTGAAATGTTGAAAGGTTCAAGTGCCTTGCGAATACTTTCGCAAGGCACTGTATTATCAATGCAAACGAAAATGTAGGTACCTGAGCTTTAATTCAGTTCGTTTTGGCTCCACTTCGTGAGGAGACTTGGGGGAGACGTAGGAGAGACATGGGGAAGAGAGACAGGCAAGACCCGCAACAAGCTGGGGACGGTCCTGATTGCGCGTCTATGGTCCGCGGTACAGGACCCCAATACGGCTGCACGTTCGCTGAGCTGTGTCAAAGCGGCCTAAGTTGCTCTCGGGGTCAGAACAGAGTACGTAACAAACAACTGCCCGCGGGCACACATTTCACAGAAATAATATTTTCAGCGAGAAAACGTCGGAATTCGCGGATCCGCAGATAATTCTCATTACTGGTTTATCTTGATGCATTTCATTGGTCAAGAGAATTGATCGATGAAGAGAATAGGTCAAAAAAAGACGTGTCCACTTTCCCGCCTTAAAGGTAGAAGTGCACAACAGCGCTCCCGGCTTGAAAGGTAGAAATGCGGGAATGCGTTCCCGGCCTCAATGGGTTAAAGAGGGAAAAATAATTGATTCTTGACTTGCTCAGAGGTCTGAGCGGAGGCTGCAGGGCCTTTGGTGTGATTGTGTTTTCTGTTGCAGACACAACAGCTGGGAGCCAGAGGAGAACATTCTGGACCCCAGACTCTTGGCTGCGTTTCACAAAAGGTGAGTTTGTTGTTTTGTGGTTGTGGTTTACAGAGATGTGGTCTCGCTCTGGTCTCTCTCTGGTCTCTCTCTGGTCTCGCTCCGGTCTCGCTCTGGTCTCTCCCTGGTCTCTCTCTGGTCTCTCTCTGGTCTCTCCCTGGTCTCTCTCTGGTCTCTCTCTGGTCTCTCCCTGGTCTCTCTCTGGTCTCTCTCTGGTCTCGCTCTGGTCTCTCTCTGGTCTCTCTCTGGTCTCTCTCTGGTCTCTCTCTGGTCTCTCTCTGTCCTCTTTCACATATGTTATCTGTGTTAGGGAGCAGGAGAGAGAGGAGCTGCTGCAGCAGAAGGGGAAGAGACCCAGGGGACGACCGCGCAAGAACTTTGTAAGAACTAAGTCAGAACACGCACTAAAAAACCTGGCACCTCCACCACCAAATAACAACACCAGTTTGATCAGTGGCTAATAATGCTACATAATAATTCTAACATTTCTCCACCTTCTCTTCTCTCCCCCAGCCTCCCGTGGTCACCCTCCCCTCAGACCCCCCCTCCTCTTCCTCTGCTCTCTCCTCATCGTACTCTTCCTCAGATGAAGAACGTCGACCAAAGAAGTCTTCTCGCTCTCACCGGCCACTACCTGTGCCGCGAACACGCCCCCAAATCCTGCTCAAGACTGACCACTCCCACCGGACCAGGAAGCGAGGCCGAAAACCCCTCCCCCCCGAGCTGAGAGCAAGACCTCGCAGCCCCCCCACTCCCCCAAGCACACGTAAGTGCTAACATCAACCTCTCCCTGGTCAATCTCTGGTCTCTCTTTCTCTCTAGTTTCTCTCTCTTATCCCTTGCCTCTAGAGCTGTCAGCAGTAGATAGTGTATCCAACAGGGCGATCAGTGGCTGTTTTTCCCTTGTTTAGGCCTGACCCCGCGGCCGCACAGGGAGACACCTGTGAAGAAGCCTCTGCAGCCGGCCAGCTTCACTTACACAGGGATGAACCGCCGGGACGACCAGCCCTCCTCAGCCACAAGCCCCGCCCCTAAGCAGAGCGCCACCAGCGGAGCCTGGACCAGCAAGACCAGCACAAGCAACAAGACCAGCACAAGTCCGCAGACCAAGAACAAGGAGAAGAGTGGTGCGCCGAGAGTCGAGGCCAGTGGTGAGTGAAAGCAGGAGAAAGTCACTGTCTGGTCTCCGGTCTCTGGTCTCACTCTGGTCTCTGTTCCGGGTCCCTCAGGTCTCCCTCTGGTTTCACTCTGGTCCTGGTCCCTCTAGTCTCTCTGGTCATTCTCTGGTCTCTTCTCCTGGTCCCTCAGGTCTTTCTGCGGTCTCACCCTGGTCTCTGCTCCTGGTCCCTCAGGTCTCACTCTGGTCTCTGCTCCTGGTCCCTCAGGTCTCTTTCTGGTCTCACTCTGGTCTCTGGTCCTGGTCCCTCAGGTCTCTCCAGTGGAGCTCTGAAGATGGCGTTTGGATCCTCGGTCCAAAGGAATCTATTGAAGTCTCAGAATGGAGCCAAGAACCAGACACTGAGTCTAAGAGCTCTGAACCTGCAGGGGACCAGCAATGTCTGTGAGTGAGAGGGGGAGGAGGGACATGTGACGTCATGTGACGTCATGTGACCTCTGTGACGTCATGTGACCTCTGTGACGTCATGTGACCTCTGTGACGTCATGTGACCTCTGTGACGTCATGTGATGTCATTTGACTCCTGTGATGTCATGTGACCTCTGTGACGTCATGTGATGTCATTTGACTCCTGTGATGTCATTTGACTCCTGTGATGTCATGTGACTCCTGTGATGTCATGTGACTCCTGTGACGACATGTGACCCTGCCTCTCTCTGTTGCAGCCAAAGGTCAGCGTGCAGAGTCGGTGAACGACCTGAGTGAGGGAGAGGAGTCTGACTCGGACGACAGTTCCAGTGATTCTGACAACAGCGGAGACTCGGACAACAGCCAGAGCCTACAGACTGCTAACACTGTTAACGCAGCTAACAGCGCTAACCCTAAAACGCTGTTCCCTGCAGAGGCTCGGCCTAGTCTGGGGGCACACGTGGACTCTGACTCAGAGGGAGAGGACTGGAGACCGTCCAGAAACGTTTTGGAGCATGTGTTTGTCACCGACGTCACCGCTAACTGCATCACCGTGACTGTGAAGGAGTCACCCACCAGTGTGGGCTTCTTCAGCAGCTAGGAGCTAATAGGAGTAGATGTATGCTAATGGGAGCTAACACATGCTAATGGGAGCTAAAGAAGCTAACACCAACACCGCTAACTGCATCACCGTCACCTTGAAGGAGTCTCCCAGCTGTGTGGGCTTCTTCAGCAGCTAAAGAAGCTAACGGAAGCTAACCACATTAATGCACTATAGTGCTGAAGTCCTGTTAGCATGTTGTTAACCTTATCAGATTAACAACATGCTAACATCATTCAAGTACTTCAACAGCTAAAGATGCTAATGGGAGCTAACGTTGTTCGAGTTCTTCAACAGGTAAAGATGCTAATGGGAGCTAAAGATGCTAACAGCAGGTGCGCTACCTCAAAACAGCGCCCCCTGTGGACCTCAGACTGTTTTGTTTCTTGTACAGTGTAAATATAAACGGTGCTGTTTTTACTGAAGACTTTTTTATTTATTTCACCTCAAAAGCATTTTTTACAAAATTCTTTAGATCTCGCATTTCAATCTGTCGCCTTAACCGAAGGAACCACAAGGAGGAAAATGCCCTGTTTCCACCTGCTCTACTCTACTCAACCTGGTTGTGTTTCCATTACGTTCTAGTATCTGGTACCGTATCCTATCAACCTCCCTACAACAAACCAGTATTCAGGGGAATTTCTTGGTAACCATGGCTTCCAGCAGCACTCTAGCCAATCTCTGTCAGCGAGGACACTTTAATACCAGCTCGGCCTGGATAGAATGAGGACCTGGTACCATGTGCCGGTGCCACAGGGCCGGTGGAAACAGAGACACTGTTGTCTCTGATGTGTCTGAACCATGAGTTTGTGTCTGATTTGGACCAAAGTCTTTTCTCTGTCACAGAATAATTATAATGATATTGTCTCATGTTATTTATACAGAATGTACATATCTTTTGTGAACTGTTCTCGGTGCCTCAAAAACCATAATAAAACTGTCCAACTTTAGTCATCCTAGTCATCTCTAATTTCTGTGTTATTTGAAAAGCCCGGCTGGCATTGACGGCGGTGTGTGGCGCCTCAACACTGCGTCCAGACCAGAACGGAACCTTTGGTGTGTGTTCTGTGTTCAGCCCGGACTCGATGTGTGTGGCGCCAGGTCCTGGTAATATTTACAGTCTATGGTCTGGCATGTTCAGTCTGCGTTGGTTTCATCAGATTTTGGCTAAAAAGACCCGAGGAATTGGAATTATCAGAATAATCTGCGGCTGTTCCACACGCGATCATCTCTGTGAGGCTCAAATCACTAACACTTTATTCAATTGTAGTGTTTATGTTGGTGAAAATGCTAATGCTAACGCGGCTAACAGCTGTAGGTCAGTTACAACACGCCTCATCACAACTATGTAATAACGCATTCGAAGATCAACGGACTATTCAGACACACAAAGTATAATTGTATTACATTTAAGTCAGAGAATTTACAACTGTTGAATGTTTAAAGCTGGGGTCTGTAACTTTAGTTTCTAAAATAACATTACATATAATAATAGTAATAATATAATAGTTTGAACAGTCTCCACTGAAAAATCAAGGCAGATCAGACTCGAGCAGCCGCCCTCCTGTGGACTCACCTCCTGCAGGAGGATCAGTGAGGGGCTGGGGCTTAATTGCTCGTGAAATTAGATCCGGACTGAGACACTGACCTCAAACGTGTATTTCCTTTGGGATTGATACAGTTTATTTATCTTGTAGTGATAAAACAGAACCTATTTAAAGCCAGAGGTCCATTGTTGTAGTCTGAGAGTCACATACCCGCAGCCCAATACTGACAGCAGAAGGGCTGAAGGCTGATGGTTTTTCAATTATTTATTAAACATAAACCCCCTGGAGATTGCAGCAAAAGAAAAAAAAAGAGAGGAAAAAAATGGTTCCTATGTTTAAGATCTGGTGGAACAGTCACATGGTTCTTGTGTTTCCTCAGGACCTGTTTTCCAGGCGCACCATGTTCTCCTTCAGACTGCAGCGCTCACTTCCTGTCTGTGCTGCGGCTGCGACGTCTGCGCTCCACACGGTGCGACGTCTTATTATGTCCTGAACATTGTGACATTACAGTCTTGAGGATACAGTCCTGAACTCCCCTGCTCCTCTTGGTCTCCTATGCTCATCCTGGTCTCTGGCTTCATCTCTTTGTTTCTCTGGTGCTGATGCAGATGTTCTCTGTAGGTCTCCTCTCGTGCTCCTCCTGGTCTCCTGTGCTCCTCTCCCACGCTTCCCCCAGCTCTTCCTGGTCCTTAGCCTCCTTTTTATGTTTCTCTGTTGCTAAAGCAGATGTTTCTCCTCTGTAGGGCTCCTCTCGTGCTCTTCCTGGTCTCCTCCTCCTCTCCCGTGCTCCTCCTGGTCTCCGGCCTCAGCTCCGGTTTAGATACAACCGTGCTGAGGAGGAGGCGCAGAGGAGGAATAGGAACCGCACGGTGCTGACATACATCGCAGCGGCGGGAGTCGGGATGATCGGTCTGTCGTACGCTGCTGTCCCACTGTACCGCCTCTACTGCCAGGTAAGTCCGCCCGAGTTCATCCAGACAGCAGTACCACGTAGTGGACCTAAAGTCTTAGGGTCTATAATGATGATAGTCTAGTCCAGGGGTGGCCAACCAGTCAGAGACTAAGAGCCATTTTTTTACCGTGTTACAGCAAAGAGCCACATCATACAAATGTGTACTACATAAACATCACCCCAACCCTTACACACACACACACACGCACACATGCAATCTGTCTGAGCAGAGAGAGGTGTGCTCGGCTCAGACAGATGTATTGTAAATGTCATCAACATGATAATGACAGAAATTGACTCGTACAGTACTAAAGGGCTGGACTCTCCCTGGTTTGCGGGCGCTTCTACCGCTCGCTTTAACCGCTCCCCGGTATTTTTTATTAATGGTTTGGCCCTGGTTCTAACCGGGCGAGTCGATACCAGAACAATCTCACGTCAGCGAACATCAATTATGATTCCGAAATGAATGCTTTCAATCTCTAACCAAGAAAAAAAATCAAGTTTCAACCCAGTGTTCAGCAGAAACACAACTGTCTTTATCGAACCATGATTCTCTCTCTGACTGCGTTTAGTAAAAGATATGGATTTGACACATAACACCAACCCCACTTTAGCTGATTTAGAACCACAGACACATGTTCAGTATAAGACCAGATACTTTTGCATTTGATTGAAGACAGACACTCACCAGGCAGAGTTGGCTTATCTCCTGGTGTAACGCTAGCTGGTGTTAGCTGGTTTTAGCATGTTAGCCAGTGTTAGCCGATGTCCGTAAATGTAGCTAATCCATTTGGTCAAACCACCTCCAGACTTTTCGGGTCTGCCTCTACTTCTGCTGCTGTAATCTTTCATTTCACGGTTGTCACTTTTAAGCTTTTTAACTTTTCTCTGCATTGTCATGTTTGTGGGAATCATTCTGCTCCGTCCTTAGCGCTAACTCCACAAACACCTTCTGGTTTCTGGTGGAACCATCGAGCTCACGCTGGTGTCTCCTCAAACTGAGGAAGGTGTTGCCCTCATCCAGCGACCAAGGAATTGTTTTCCGTACGGACGTCATGGGTCGAGGCAACGTGTTGTTTGTTTTGATATTTGCAACAGCTGAGGCAGCAGCTGCAGAGTGATTGACAACGCATCTGACCAATCAGAATTGAAGTTCGCCGACGTCAAATTGTTTTGGCGGCCCGGTTAGTGGAGTGGGGTCGGCCTTTACTATGGGTCAGAACTACATAGGGAATGAAAGGCAGCGCCACCACCGAGGCGTTTTTGACGCTTGTCGCGTGAAAGCCCAAGAGCCGCACGGAACCAGCCAAAGAGCCGCATGCGGCTCACGAGCCGCGGGTTGGCCACTCCTGATCTAGTAATGATGATAATCTAGTCTATAATGATAATCTAGTCTATAATGATGATAATCTAGTCTATAATGATGATAATCTAGTCTATAATGATGATAATCTATATCAGTGTTTTTCAACCACTGTGCTGCGGCACACTAGTGTGCCGTATAATATTGTCTGGTGTGCCTTGAGAAATTCGCCTACTTTGTCTAAAAATAAACGCATCCACGTGGGCGAGTGCTGACTTGTTTTGAACTGTTGAGTAACTACTAATACTTTTTCATACCAGTAGGTGGCAGCAGAAGTACTTTAAAATGTAAGAATTGGACACAACCACCAAATGTAACAGGTAGCAGGGAGCATGTGGCGAGAAACGTAAAAATTGGATGCGACCACTAAATGTAAGAGGGAGCGAGGAGCATTGTGGCTCGTGAGAAGTGAAAGTGATGGAGACGTTTTTAAAAAGGAATTATGCCATTCCTGAACAGGATTCACATTAGGGATGTAAAAAACTATGAATTTTCATGACCGACCACCGAGCCTCATTAACCGGTTGAAACCGGTTAACCGCGTAGTTTAAAATAGTCCACATTTCGAGCCGCGTACTTTCCATAAGAGCAGCTCTGCGTTCTACTGGATCAGAGCCGAGACAGCGGCGCCAAAACCCGCTACAGCTTCGGCACCTTAGCACAGAGAACTGCTTTTTTAATCTTCCCATTCTGCTGTACTGCGGGTTAACACTAGGACCGCCGTGTTCTAGACATAATTTGCACCGCCCCCTGCGGTCAGTTGACCGCTATGTATTTTGCGCTGATACAGCCTTTTGCCAAATTGATTGTTCACTAAACCAGAACTTGATGTTGCAAAGGAACCGTGATCATAATGAAACTGTGTAAATTATTTGTCTAAATATGCTAAGTAATTGTAATTCTAGCCGAAATAAAAGACTAAGACGACACATTTTGCGTGTACTGATCCATCAAAATTACGATGACCTTTCAGGGTAGATTTATTTTGTAACTTTGCAAACACGTAAAAGGTTGGTCACTATATGTTATATTTGACTCAATAACAATATGTAAATTCAAACAATATAAATGATAGTTTAGAAAAGCACGGGACCATAACGTCTTCGCGCTGCTATATGCGTCTACTTCTTACGTCATCTCCAGACTGTTTTCTCTTTCCAGCCGAAATCACCGTGGGAAATATTATCTAGATAATAATAATATTCGTATTGACACAAGATCATCAGCGAGGCTACCATCGTCAATGTACAATCTTCAATTTTACACGGGACACGTTAGAAATACAAATATATATATATATATATATATATATATATATATATATATATATATATATTTGTATTTATTTGAGACAAGCAGTGCTCTTTATGATCAGAACAAAATTATAATCATTGCCTTGCAGTGTGCGCTGTGCAGAATAACACACAGTGTTATCTGGATGAAATAAGAATGATATCCTTATTGATATGATGAGGGCCGCTTCTGCCCCACAGTCGCTCTCCTCCTGCAGGTGTCCGCGGGTGACGAGAGGCCTCACATCGTTCTATCTGCATTACGCGGGTCATGCGCGTTATTGCTTCTGGACTTGTTACAACACTGCTGTCCGTGCCGTGAATGCACTATGGGTTTATGTTCAGATTTAGAATATTATAGGTGTTCTCCCCGCTGTCACTTTCCACCTCAAAATGTGACATCTCACTTCCGTCAGACTGTTCTCATTCTTGCAGCTCTATTCATTTTGTACTCCTCTCAATTCAAAACTCTTTCTCTCTCCCAAATAATAATTAAAAAAAAACTCAAGTCCCTTTAGAGTCTAATGACAACATATTGATAATTTTTTATAAGGCACGAAAAAACCCCGGGAAAGGTTACTATGACAACAGTCGCCCCTGCGCCATGTATCCCTATGGGGCAGCAGAAAGGGCTGTGGATTAGAAAAGTTAAAATGCGTGTAAATCTTTACTTTTTCCAAAACCAAAACACACCAAAATATAAACAACAAGTACCTAATAAAAGTCATAAAATTTTAACTTCTGACGTTTTGTTTTGAATACACTAATTAGCATATTAAAGTGAGTTCTCTCTCCTCTCCTCTCCTCTCCCTTCTCTCTCTCCTCTCCCTTCTCTCTCTCCTCTCCTCTCCTCTCCCTTCTCTCTCTCCTCTCCCTTCTCTCTCTCCTCTCCCTTCTCTCTCTCCTCTCCTCTCCCTTCTCTCTCTCCTCTCCCTTCTCTCTCTCCTCTCCTCTCCTCTGCCTCCTCTCTCCCCTTTCCTCTCTCTCCTCTTCTTTCTCCTCTCTCTCTACTCTCTTCTCTCCTGTGTCCTCTCTCTCTTCTCTGCTCTCCTCCCCCCCTCTCTCACCTCCACGCTCCTCCTGGCCTCCTCCACGCTCCTCCTCTCGTGCCCACGGTGCGCCTCCTCCACACAGCCCTCACAGATGCACTCCTGGTCTGGGACACAGAACCAATCCAAGCTTTGGTGGTGGATCTCGCAGGTTCTCCTCTCCACGTCCTGCAGGGGGTCCAGGAGGCGGTGGGAGCAGAACTTAGGGTTCTCCAGATGGGGGCGCAAGTGAGAGGAGCAGAAGGAGACCAGGCAGGTCAGGCATGACTTCACTGCAGGGAGAGGAGTGTCGATGCAGGAGTCACAGAGGACCAGGCCCAGGAGGTCCTGAGGAGGAGCAGAGGAGGGTTAAAGAGACACACACAGATACACACACACACACACACAGACACACACACACACACACACACACACACAGACACACACACATAGACGCACACACACACTCTCACACACAGACAGACACACGCACACAAACACAGACGCACTCACACACACACCTCTGGACTGGACTCGGTGTTGTCTGCTGGAGCTTCGCTGGAGCCGCTGAGTCTGGGTTTCTCCAGGACTTTGGTGGAATCAGGACTTGGACCTGGATCAGGACCTGGACCTGGACTGGTGGGCTCTGGTCCTGCAGATTGAGGACTATGAGGAGCTGAATGTGACATCCCTGAAACAAGAATGTTGACTACATTAAAGCGTTGGTCTGTAACATTACTAAAGCCAATAGGTCTGTCCGGACTAAAACAGAGGAACTGAATTACCTGAGTTCTGGTTTAGTCCAAGTTTAGTCCTAGTTTAGACCTGGTGCAGACCTGGTTCAGACCTGGTTCGGAGCCGGTCTCTCTGACAGTTGCAGTCTGCTGCTGTGGTTCCTGGTTCCTCCCTATGAAACTGGGAGGAGCTTCTAGCTGCAAAACCACATTCTACACCACATCAGGGTGGTGTAGAATGTGTCTCTCTGGTCTCTCTTACGATACCAGAGAGAGAGACCACCAGAGAGAAACCAGAGAGAGACTAGAGACCAGAACGAGATCAGAGAGAGACCAGGGAGACACCAGAGAGAGAGACCAGAGAGAGACAAGAGATAGACCAGAGAGAGACCAGAAAGAGACCAGCGAGAAACCAGAGAGGGACTAGAGACCAGAACGAGACCAGAGAGAGACCAGAGAGAAACCAGAGAGAGAGACCAGAAAGAGACTAGAGACCAGAACGAGACCAGAGAGAGACCAGAGAGAGAGACCAGAAAGAGACCAGCGAGAAACGGGAGAGAGACTAGAGACCAGAACGAGACCAGAGAGAAACCAGAGAGAGAGACCAGAAAGAGACCAGCGAGAAATCAGAGAGAAACTAGAGACCAGAACGAGACCTGAGAGAGACCAGCGAGAAACCAGAGAGAGACTAGAGACCAGAACAAGACCAGGGAGACACCAGAGAGAGAGAGACAAGAGAGAGAGACCAGAAAGAGACCAGCAAGAAACCAGAGAGAGACTAGAGACCAGAACGAGACCAGAGAGAGACCAGCGAGACACCAGAGAGAGAGACAAGAGAGAGACCAGAGAGAGACCAGAAAGAGACCAGAAAGAGACCAGAAAGAGACCAGAGAGACACCAGACCACGAGAGAGAGACCAGAGAGAGACTAGAAAGAGACCGGAACGAGACCAGAGAGACACCAGAGAGAGAGAGACTAGAGAGAGACCAGAGAGACACCAGAGAGAGAGACCAGAGAGAGAGCAACAAGAGAGACCACAAGACTAGAGACTAGAGACCAGAACGAAACCAGAGAGAGACCAGGGAGAGTGACCAGAAAGAGACCAGAAAGAGACCAGCGACAAACCAGAGAGAGACTAGAGACCAGAACGAGACCAGAGAAAGACCAGGGAGAGTGAAGAGAGAGAGACACCAGAGAGATAGACCATAGAGAGAGAAACCACGAGAGAGAGACCAGAGAGAGACCAGATAGAGACCAGAAAGAGACCAACAAGAAACCAGAGAGAGATTAGAGACCAGAACGAGATCAGGGAGACACCAGAGAGAGAGAGACCAGAGAGAGACCAGCGAGAGAGACCACGAAAGAGAGACCAGAGAAAGACTGGAAAGAGACCAGAACGAGACCAGAGAGAGACCAGAGAGACACTAGAGAGAGACCAGAGAGAGAGAGAGATCAGAGAGAGTCCAGAGATGTGTCATGTGACCTGTGGGGACAAATAATGAAACAAAGACACGCTGGCCCTTTAAGTTGGTGATAAACTCATTACATTGAAGTGTCTTGTTCTGACCTGAGACCTCTGTGTCTCTGTGTCTCTGTTGGGTTCATTTATTGATCAGTGATTGTAAAGCTGCTGATTGTGTATAGTTTATTAGTTTGGCACAGTAAGTCTGCACTCCCTCCTCACACTGATGTCGCAGTTGTTTGTTATTTACCAGAAACTGAAGAAAACCTGCGGCTGAGAGCAGCACGACCCCTGCTGGAGGAAGAAGGAACAACAGAGGAACCCAGGGTACATATTCTCTGTTCTCTCCCCTCTCTCTCTTTCCTCTCGCGCCCCTCTCTTTCCTCTCTTCCCTCTCTCTCTTCTCTCTCCCCTCACTCTCTCTCTCTCTCCCCTCTCTCTCCCCTCTCTTTCCTCTCTCTGTGAAACCTCCACCAGAGGGCGCCACACTCCAACAGCCAAAAGAGACTGATGAACACGGCTCCAGTTAAAGACCTTATGCCGGGTTTTTTTTTTCAAATTGTGGATATCAAAATTGCATGACAATGTCGATCTGAAAGAGATTCCGGCAAAAAAAATCCTATATTTTATAAAAAGAACGTGTTTTTCATGAATTTAAGTTGTCTATGCTCAAACCTGTGTGTGACGTCATAGTGGGTAACGCCCATGCATTGAAAACCATGGATCAATGGCCCAGTCCCAATACCCACACTGCACCCTACACACCTCTACGAAGTGTGCATTTGTTCGAAGTGCACACCAAGCCCCGGCGATCCAAGATGGCGCCCTATTCAAATGAATGGTTGTGCTCAGTGGCGCTTTGTGACAGCACGGGGGCTGAAAGATTAGCGGAAGTCGCCTGGAACTCGCAAAGATCTATGGGAAACTCGCAAAGATCTATGGGAAACTCACCTGTATTTGGGCATCGTCTGGTCCTCCCTGTTCTGCGCAGTGGATGATCTCCCATAATGCGTTGCGTCAAACACGCGTGTGTGGGTCTCACACCGGGTCTCACGCACGTGCACAGAGGGGCTCGGCCGCGCTCTGACCAATCAGAGCAGTTCATCAGAGCGGGAGTTAGAGCGAGAGCCAGAGGAGTAGAGTTTGTGGCACTAAAGTGTGGATTTAAACAAAACCGAAGGATTTAAGAAGAAAAAAAGTTCAGGATGACAAGGGACACTAAAATCCCCACAAAATCCTATCTTTATTAAAGCTGTAGGTTCTCTGTCAGCTGAGGTCGAGCTGTTTTAATATGCATTGAGTTCTATGGGGAAAATTTCTGGGTAGCCCACGTGAATTTACTCTGGTTCAGTCTGCAGCACTGCGAGAATCCCCCGAGCACATGGGTTATTCAGCTACAAGCTAGTAATACCCTATCCAGTTATTATAATAGATCCATGGGCCACACCATGGATGTGCACCATGCTGCTGTTGGAGTGCGCAGGTTACAAGTGTGCAAAAAAGGCGGAATTGGGACAGTGGACACTGAGTGCAGGTCACGTCATCGACTCGTCAAGAGATGGTCATTTTCAGACCTAAACTTTATAAACATTAAAGGTAACTTTGTCTGACCCTTTGGGAAACAAAATGAATTGCTTCACACACGTTAAAATACATGTATATTAGTTGTTTTTAATTAGAGATAGCTGTATAATTTTAAGTTAAATGTGGGTAACTAACTAGCTGGTCAGTTTTTATACATTCTAAGATTATTGTACTAAGTGTAAAGTTTAAATTGAATGTTATATGAACGCTTGTTTGGAAAAGTTATTAAATTGTTAAAACACAATGTCCGTTTATGCTTCTTTCCAAGTAACATAGCAAAACTTATTTACACACATACTGCATATATATTTCAAAATTTATATTTAAATGCATTTTCCCGATGTTTTGGTGTGTACCGCAAAGAATTATGGGCAATATCCTTCGCCAGAGTGCGCATAGATGCAGGCTACGGCGAAGTGTGGATCAGGGGCACAAAGGGGGCGGGGCCAAAGACCTCCCTGGAGAATTGGGACACCCTACGCACTCGCACCCTTTATCGGGAACGCGCAAATGAGGGGCGCAAGGGTGGAAGTGCGAGTATTGGGACGGGGCCTATGCAAGCCCCGGCGATTCAAGATGGCGCCCTATTCAAATGAATGGTTGTGCTCAGTGGCGCTTTGTGACGGCATGCGGGCTGAAAAGATTAGCGGAAGTTGGCTGAAACTCGCAAAGATCTATGGGAAACTCGCCTGTATTTGGGCATCGTCTGGTCCTCCCGGTTCTGCGCAGTGGATGATCTCCCATAATGCGTTGTGTCAAACACGCGTGTGTGGGTCTCACACACGTGCACAGAGGGGCTCGGCCACGCTCTGACCAATCAGAGCAGTTCATCAGAGCGGGAGTTAGAGCGAGAGCCAGAGGAGCAGAGTTTGTGGCACTAAAGTGTGGGATTTAAACAAAACCAAAGGATTTAAGAAGAAAAAAAGTTCAGGATGACAAAGGACACTAAAATCCCCACAAAATACTATCTTTATTAAAGCTGTAGGTTCTCTGTCAGCTGAGGTCGAGCTGTTTTAATATGCATTGAGTTCTATGGGGAAAATTTCTGGGTAGCCCACGTGAATTTAATCTGGTTCAGTCTGCAGTACCGCGAGAATCCCCTGAGCACATGAGTTATTCAGCTACAAGCTAGTAATACCCTATCCAGTTATTATAATAGATCCATGGGCCTATGCCACAGGACTGCCTTTTCTCTCTTCTCTCCACTGATGCCCAACACAATACTGCACTCTACAGGTGACAATTGCTCACTACACATAAATTTCAGTTCTGAGAGTGAAAATGGGTCTCAGGTGGGCTTCGAACCCCAGTACCTGGATTGACAGCCCATCGACACAACCACTGGACTATCTCAGTGCCAACGAAATGTTACAATCTAGTATTAATATCAGTCTTGCTGTACACGGCCTTGTCATCTTGAATATCCGCGAAAAAAGAACGAATACCAAATTGTAAACAACTTACAGCGTTGAAACGTTCGCACTCTGACGTCACCAAGGGCTGTGAAGTTTTTTCGTTTCTAAGGGCGTTGCTATGGGGTTATTTCGATTTGGGGGGATCAGACAAAAAAAACAACTGATTTTGAAACCTTTAGTAGTTCTCTTCTAATATAAAATGGTATTAAAACTGTATTTCTAAATAAATCAAACCCGGCATAAGGTCTTTAAAGCAGGGGTCTGTAACTCACCCAGAGTCTGAGTGATGCTGCTCTCTCTCTCTGATCTCTCTCTGTTCTTTCTCAGGTCAATCTCTCATCTCTCTCTCTGGTTTCTCTCTCGTCCTTCTCTGGTCTCTCTCTGGTCTCTCTGGTCCCTCTCTGGTCTCTCTATCTGGTCCCTCTCTGGTCTCTCCTGGTCTCTCCCTGGTCTCTCCCTGGTCCCTCTCTGGTCTCTCTCTCTGGTCTCTCTCTCTGGTCCCTCTCTGGTTTCTCCTGGGTCTCTCCCTGGTCTCTCCCTGGTCCTTCTCTGGTCTCTCCTTGGTCTCTCTCTGGTCTCTCTCTGGTCCCTCTCTGGTCCCTCTCTGGTCTCTCTCTCTGGTTTCTCTCCCTGGTCTCTCTCTGGTCCCTCTCTGGTCTCTCTCTGGTCCCTCTCTGGTCTCTCCTCGGTCTCACTCTGGTCTCCCTCTGGTCTCTCTCTGGTCCCTCTCTGGTCTCTCTCTGGTCTCTCTCTGGTCCCTCTCTGGTCTCTCTATCTGGTCCCTCTCTGGTCTCTCTCTGGTCCCTCTCTGGTCTCTCTCTCTGGTTTCTCTCTCTGGTCTCTCTCTGGTCTCTCTCTCTGGTCTCTCTCTGGTCTCTCCTCGGTCTCACTCTGGTCTCTCCTCGGTCTCACTCTGGTCTCCCTCTGGTCTCCCTCTGGTCTCCCTCTGGTCCCTCTCTGGTCTCTCTCTGGTCCCTCTCTGGTCTCTCTCTGGTCCCTCTCTGGTCTCTCTCTGGTCCCTCTCTGGTATCTAGTTCTAGTAATAACTGTATATTTTAATAATTGTCTGATTTGGTTTGAGCTTCTGGACTTTGCTCGTCTCACGTCACTGCTTCAGTTTAGTTTGTGCAGACAGAGGATCAGCAGAGGTAAGACCAGCAAGAGACTGAAGAGAGACCTGCAAGAGACCAGCAAGAGACTGAGGAGAGACCAGCAAGAGACCAGAGAAACCAGAGAGACACGAGAGAGACCAGAGAGAGACACGAGAGACCAGACAGAATCCCTTTATAATGCAGATAATGTATTCAGAGATGAGATTAAAGTTCTTAAAGTCAGAAATTAAACACAAACTTTTAAAAATTAAACTAAAGAACTTCAAAGACATCACACTGTGACATCACACGCAGCCCCAGATCTTTGAAGCTTCTTCCGGAATGTTCTTATGACTGGAGGAGTCCTGGTTCAGACCTGGTTCAGACCTAGTTCACTCCTGGTTCACTCCTGGTTCAGACCTCTTTGGATCCAAAACAAAAAGTTCGAACGCCCTATAGGAGGTCACCTGTATGAGGGGGCGGGGCCAAATACTCAAGCTCCTCCCCCTCCTGTTCACCTGTGACATTCAGACCAGAGCAGGACTGAACCAGGTCCTCGTCTGGTCCCAGCTGCAGGTAAGACTATCAGCACTTTTCTCTTTCTGACTTTAACTTTAAAATGTTTAATCCCTATGGTAACGGTCATCACTGGGGTCTGCAGACGTGAGTGAGGCAGGGTCTCACTCACGCTGGTCTCACTCGGTAAAGCTGGGTAACTTTAGTCTAATAATTGATAACACATGTTTAAAGCTGGTTTCTGTCAGAGTTGTGTGAAAGTTACATACCCCAGCTTTAATATGCAAGGACAAGACCAGAACAAGTCCAGCCGAATACTAGCCATGGTTCAGAGTTCAGACCTGAACCAGACCTGGTTCAGACCTGGATCAGACCTGGTTCAGACCTTGTTTTTTTGTGTCTTTGTGTCAAATGTTTCTCAGATTTCATGTTTAGTTTTTGTCGCTGTGACACTGGAGAATTCTCACAAACAAAAGCGAATTTTCTTTTGTCTCGAGAATAAAACTTTAGAATTAGTAATAACAGTAGAACTGCAGTAGTAGAAGCTGTAAGTAAGTAATGTTTATCTATATGCCACATTTTTACATACCAAGGTCACCCAAAGCGCTTTACAGTAGTAGCAGTGATAGCAGTAGTACTGCAGTAGTCGTAGTAGTAGTAACAGTAGTGGCTGTAGTAGATAGACAGATAGATACTAGATCCCCGTAGGAGAAATTCAGGCGCCCAGTATCAGCATAAACACATCCATCCACACAAACAAAACAAATGAATAGATCATTATTGTTAGATCAAGTAGCTAACAATAGTAATAATCAGCATCAGTCGTTCAGGTCACAGCAGCAGAGGAGCCTCTGGCTTTGAACCATTTTCTCTGCTCTAGTCCAAAGTAAAATGCTGAATGCTTCTTTTGCATTTTTCTAAAAGTTAGCATTCCTCCAGTGGATTTTCGGCTGATCTGCATGGTTTGGACCATGAATCCTCTCTGCTCTGGTCTGGACCAGTGTAAAACCATGAACACTTTACTGCAGCAACATCTCAGGTAGAAAAAAGTAGTAGCAGCCCACCTCAAGACTTTCACCATCGACTCCCTCTGTCTGCTGTCGTTGCGTCTTTGGCAAGACACTTAATCTCTGGTAACACCAGGTGCCACAGTGGGGTGGCTGTAAAGTGCCAAAGAATGAGTCTGGTGAGTGGTTGGTGGTGGTCGGAGGGGCCGATGGCACATACTGGTTGCCTCGCTTCTGTCAGTGTGCCCCACTGACTACTACTACTGCAGTGTGCAGTAGTAGTTTTTTTCACCTACCTTTTTTTTTTGGGCGGCACGGTGGCTGAGTGGATAGCACTCTCGCCTCTCAGCAAGAAGGTCCTGGGTTCAAATCCCGGTTCGGACCAGGGCCTTTCTGAGTGGAGTTTGCATGTTCTCCCCGTGTCTGCGTAGGTTTCCTCCGGGTACTCCGGTTTCCCCTACCACTAAAAATATGTGCAATAGTTCTGGCATGCGCCTCCTGTTCAGCGACCCCGCTCCCATCTCTGTGTGGAGTGAGAGGACAAGTGCCCAAAAAAATAGCAAACGTAAAACCGCTTTGTGACTCTGGTCTGTGAAAGGCGGTATATAAATAAAGATTACTTACTTACCACTGTGTATGGAGTGAAAGAATAATGATATGTAAAGCGTCTTTGTGTTCAAAAAAGCGCTATATAAAACCGATGCATTTTTATTATTAGCAGCAGTAGTAGTAGTAGTAGCAGTAGCAGTAGTAGTAGTAGCAGCAGTAGCAGTAGTAGTAGTAGCAGCAGTAGTAGTAGTAGCAGCAGTAGTAGTAGCAGTAGCAGCAGCAGTAGTAGTAGTAGCAGTAGTAGTAGAGTAGTAGCAGCAGCAGTAGCAGTAGCAGTAGTAGTAGTAGCAGTAGCAGTAGCAGTAGCAGTAGTAGCAGCAGTAGTAGTAGCAGTAGTAGCAGCAGTAGTAGCAGCAGTAGTAGCAGCAGCAGTAGCAGTAGCAGTAGTAGTAGTAGCAGCAGTAGTAGCAGTAGCAGTAGTAGTAGTAGCAGTAGCAGTAGCAGCAGCAGTAGTAGCAGCAGTAGTAGCAGCAGTAGCAGTAGCAGTAGCAGTAGTAGCAGCAGTAGCAGTAGCAGTAGCAGTGCTGCAGTCTCTGTTGTGTCCCTCATGCTTCTGTGTTGACAGAACACAGAGGAGTGTGTCTCTAAACACTGACCTCAGATCAGATTACCTCAGATGACCTCTGCCCCCACCCCTTCTGTCCAACTTTCTCTTTTCAAACACATTTACTGGGCAGAGCTGTTTGCATATTCTCCCTGTGTGGCTTTCTGTCTTTCCCCCCTCCTCCCCTCTCACCCCCCCCCTCCTCCCCTCTCTAAGACACGTGTAAACACTACAAACAGCGATTAAGAACAAAGTGGAAAGTAATGGAGCGAGACACAAGGGGAAGGTCAAACACACGCACGCACACACACACAAATACACACACAAATACACACACAAACACACACAAGCACACACACAAGCGCACACACACACTCACCATAGAGGCAGATAGTGACTCACAGGGACCTGACTTAAGTATAGGATGTACCATCTTCAAACTGTCTGTGGGAGAAGGCTGTCTGTGCGCTGCAACACTGACATTTCCCTGTGACCTGTGTACAACAACAGTAACAGGACACTTGTCTCTGCAGCTTCACAATGCCAGCGCTGTACAGCCCCGCCCCCTGCTCTGACCCCGCCCCCGGCACTGGTCCTGCCCCCTCCCCTGGCCACACCCCCTCCATTGGCCACACCCCCTCGCGGCAGCGGCTGGTGCGCAGAGACGGCTCGGGGGACGTGGTGTTCCGTCACGTTCCGGCAGAATGGCTGCTGCTGGTGACGGACATCTTCACGACGCTGATGGAGATCCGCTGGAGGGTGATGTTCCTGCTCTTCGCACTCTCCTATATTCTGTCCTGGACCTTCTTCGGCGTCCTCTTCTGGGTCGTGGCCATCGCCAACGGAGACGTCCAGAACCACAACTCTGAGCCCTGCGTCTACGAGGTCAGAAGCTTCACTGCTGCTTTTCTCTTCTCTCTGGAAACACAGACCACCATCGGGTAAGAGTTCTCTCTCTCTGGTCTCTCTCTCTGGTCTCTCTCTCTGGTCTCTCTCTCTGATTTCTGGGGTCCTGATGATGAAGTTGCCTAGATACGGTTTCCGTGGGATGTCGGAGAACTGCCTGTCTGCCATCGTCTTGGTAACGGTGCAGGACGTGATGAGCTGCTTCATAGATACCTTTGTGATTGGGATCGTCGTGGCCAAGATGGCGTCCGCTCGGAAACGTGCTCAGACCGTGGGCTTCAGTCACTGCGCCGTCATCAACCTGCGTGACGGCGCCCTCTGTCTTTCGTGGCGAGTCGGCGACTTCAGACGCCACCACCTGGTAGAAGGCACCGCCCGAGCCCAGCTGGTCCATTCCACCGTCCACTCCACCGGCAAGGTGGAGGTCCGTTACACAGACCTGGTGCTACAGCAGGTGAGCTACTCAATTCAATTCAATTCAATTTATTCTCGTATAGCCCTAAATCACAACAGCAGTCATCTCAGAGGACTTAACAAAACCATTGAAATCACCAACACAGATCAGAGAATCAACAGTTAAGAAACAAAACGAACACATGGTATTGGTCCATAGGGAGAGACCAATATCCATAAATGTTGTAGAATGTTGAGTGTCCTCAATCATCACCACGGTCCTTGTTGGACGCTAACTGTCCAACTGAAGAGGACTGTTTTAAGCCTGGCCTTGAATGTAGAGGCCAGAATGCAGCAGCCATGGGGATAGCATGCTAGCGGCTAGGCTAGCCCAGGCTACAGTACCAAAGAAAGTGTACTACAGGAGAGCTACTGCTACAGCAAGAAAGGTACATGGGAAATAAACTACCATAAAATAATCTGAATAATTTTTTTGCCATGTGAGTAACTGAAAGTCACAAAATAGGAAAAATGTTTTGGCTCTCTGTGCAATCCAAGCCCCGGTGATCCAAGATGGCGCCCTATTCAAATGAATGGCTTGTGCTCAGTAGCGCATGGGACTTCACACGGGGTGGACGAGCTCCCATGATGCGTTGTGCCAAATACTCGTGTGTGGCTCTCATGCACGTGCACAAAGGGCTCGGCTTTGACCAATCAGAGCTGCTGAACAGAGCAGCAGCAGAGCGGAGTCAGAGCGGGAAGGAAAACAGGAGAGTTTGTGGCAGTAAAGTGTGGATTTAAAGAAAACCGAAGGATTTAAGAAGAAATAAAGTTCAGGATGACAAGGGACACAAAAATCCCCACAAAATCTGATATCCGACGTAAAAAGCTGTAGGTTCTCTGCAGCTGAGGTCGAGCTGTTTTAGTTTACATTGAGTTCTAGGGTAAAAATGTCTGGGGAGCACATGGTTGAGACAGCTTTAAGCTAGTAATACCCTATCCAGTTATTATTATAGATCCATGGTGCAAACTAGTTAAATTAAAACATATAATACGTTCATGTGGGCGGAGTAAGGCTGGGCACTGGTGTTTAGTTGAGCTTTAAAATAGGTACACAATACGTTTGCAGTGCAGTAAAGTGACTGTAAAGAGTCAATAGAGTGTCAGTAAAGTACCAGTAAACTGACTGGTCTCTCTCATGGGCCCTCTGGTTCCTCTCATGGTCTCTCTCATGGGCCCTCTGGTTCCTCTCATGGTCTCTCTCATGGTCTCTCTTGTCTTTGTCTCAGAACACAGTGATTTTGGCCACCCCCAGTCTCATCACTCACCGGATCGTCCCTGGGAGCCCGCTGTATAACATGAGCCTGGCAGATCTGCGGAGTGGCGAGGACTTTGAGCTGGTGGTGACCTTCACGTACACCGACGACACCACAGGCATCCTGCACCAGACCCGCACCGCCTACACGCCCACTGACGTCCACTGGGGGGAGCTGTTCCAGGAGATGATCCGCGTCACACGCCGAGGATACCGTGTGGACTACAGCCTGTTCCACTCCACCGCCAGGGTAACCACCAGAGGACACAACACCTCTGGTCTCTCTCGCTGGTCTCTCTCTCTGGTCTCTCTCGCTGGTCTCTCTCGCTGGTCTCTCTCTGGCCTCTCTCTGGCCTCTCTCTGGCCTCTCTCTGGTCTCTCTCTGGTCTCTCTCTGGTCTCTCTCTCTGGTCTCTCTCTGGTCTCTCTCTGGTCTCTCTCTCTGGTCTCTCTCTGGCCTCTCTCTGGTCTCTCTCTCTGGTCTCTCTCTGGCCTCTCTCTGGCCTCTCTCTGGTCTCTCTCTCTGGTCTCTCTCGCTGGTCTCTCTCTGGCCTCTCTCTGGTCTCTCTCTCTGGTCTCTCTCTGGCCTCTCTCTGGTCTCTCTCTGGTCTCTCTCTCTGGTCTCCCTCAGGTTAAAGTACATCTTTCTGTTTCAGGTCCTGGTTCCGATCGTTAGCGCCGCAGAGTATGAGCAGAAGAAGCAGTTGAAGCTGAACTCCCCTCGCCACTCCCCCCGTTCCTCCCCTCGCAACTCCCCACGCCCACAAGCCCCGCTCTCAGATCGGGACGTAAACCAGAACCGGACCTCAGACCTCCTGAAGCCCCCGAGTGTCACCGTGGAGCTGGCAGACGGAGATCTCCCCCATAGAAGCCACATCTGACAAGTTTTAAGGAGTATGAGATGACCGGGCGAGAAACAGAAGGGACATTTACCAAAAGAACTCAGAGACAGAACTTTAGCGTGACTTTAAAGCTGTGGTCTGTAACTTTAAACATACAGCCCAGCTTTAAACATGTATTATTTATTAGACTAAAGTTACAGACCCCAGCTTTAAACATGTGTTATTTTTAAAGTTACAGTCCTCAGCTTTAACATGTGTTTGTTTTGACACATAGTTTCTTTATTTTGTTAAAGATCAAAGTGTTAAAAATGTCACATTGTGTTTGTGTCGTCTGTTAAACACAGAATGAATAATTAAAGTGATTGTCTGGAGTTTGTCAGAAAGAGAGAGAGAGAGGTACTTGATTTGAAAAAAACGACGCAAGCTCCTCCCCCTTCCTTTCTGATTGGTCTACACCTACGTTTCCGTAACACTTTTAAATGTTAATCAGAGAACACATTATACATATACATTATTAATACACATGCACGGAGGATTTCTGAATTATTTGTTAACGTTTTCATGAAATAATAAATAAATAATGTTTATATTCACAAAAAAAGCGATCGCGGCAAACGCGGAAGAATTTATCATGTATAGGACACATCTGCAGAGGATCTGATTATGGATATAGGTTCAGTATATAAATGATTATGGATATAGGTTCAGTATATAAATGATTATGGATATAGGTTCAGTATACATAGTTCCCACAGACCAATGAATGTCACATGACCTCCTCGGAGACGCCATCTTTGATGGCACGCTGCTGTGTTTGTGCATTCCATTAAAGGCACACCGCGGACTTTGTGACCTAAAGAGTTGACACATATGAGTTATTTTATATGAATACTTGGGCCAATATACAGCGCTTGACACTTGCAATGCTCCGAGCGGGGCTGCCCTCTTGAAATACCGCCCATGTAAGTTTCGAGCAGACGGACCGTCTGCCACCAGGTCACGTGACTTGGAAGAAAGACTTGCTTTACGGCTACAGGCGCTGATATACTCATGGAGCTAAGGCTTTTGCTACTCATTTTTCACCTGCTCGACTCCTGGTCATGGCTGAGGCAAGGAAAAATTTTAAACCTTCGGAGGAGGCTAAAAAGAGGAAACGCGAAAGGGATCGTGCTGTAAGCTGCATGTCTGTATGAGCGCTGCTCTTCACCTGGTTCCTGGATGTCATCGACTGCAAAGATGTCATTCCACGCAGCACGAGCTAGACGCAGAACTCCCTCATCCAGGATATAGAAGTCCATGTGTGGTAGATTACTAATGCAGCGGTCTGGAGGCTGACCACAGCAGAGTCTCTCAATATCTGTAGGCATGTCTCTACAGTTTGAACACACACACCAGTGCATGCTGTCTGAATACACACTCAAAAGACACCGGCTGACTGTTTGTTGACTTTTGCGACAGTGCTGAGTTGCTTGTGGCCACTAGGGGCGCTAAACGTGAAAGTTGCAGGTCTAGCGCCCCTAGTGGCCAAGAGTTACACGGTGTGCCTTTAAACAGAAGAATGAGAATAAATGTAGATATTCAAACGCAAATTGGAAAAAAAGGGCAACTTTTGAGCAAATAATTGTATATTAATACAATGGCACCACAGTTTAACGTGCTACGGACATGTTTTACATATTTGATCAAATTATGCAGCAAAAATTAACAAGCAATGCAAACATTTCTCAAAAACTTTAGATTTAATACCAGTTGGAGCTCCATTTAATTATTTTAATTATATTAACAATTAATTTAATTAATGCTAATGCCACACGGACACTCTGGATTGCTGTTATTGTTTATTTCCGCGTTTTTGACCGTATGTTTTGGTGAATGGTGGGCAACTGATTTTTCCAGGCGTAAAGAGCAGTTTATTTTATGACACAGATCTTTTTACAGAAGCAATGCTGTTTTTTAACATTGTTTTAGCCCACCATAGAACTATTATTATCTATTTAATACATTTACGTTGCCCTCGAGAGCCTCGGACGCGACACCGATCCTCCTCATAAGACCCATAGACATAATCTTTTTTTACCAAGACTTTAAGTAATACAAAACAGTCAATAGAAACCAAACAACTATTTTAAAGGAATTTTATTTTAGATTTTGTTTTCGAATTGCAGTGATTCTATTTTTGACATAGAATTTAATGCCACTCCATGTCCGATGTCTAAGGTCATCTGGTGAGGCATTAATGCAGGCCAGGCAGTGAGACTTCCCAGGGACCTTTCCAGTCTGTATGAAAGGTGTCATGGTCTTCTCCACAGCCTTCACCTCAGATGCAGACCATGGCTTTCTTACACGTTCTAGGGAGAGAAATAAAAATATATTAGCAATATACACTCCCAGGGTGAGGACCAAGCAGCCTGGCTGTAATCCCCCACCTGGTACACTTACCAGAAGGGGCACTGCCACTACCATGGGGTGCATCTGGATGAATGGTTGAAGGTTCTCCGCTTGAAGTTTCTTTTAGCCCGTCCGTTTGTGAGAGGATCTCTACTGCTCTCCCTGTCGCACAGAAAATAAAAATACAAGTGGCCTTTAGGGGAAAAAAATCATACATATTTTAATAATATCAAGAATTACCTTCAGGCTCAATTTGTATCTGGTCGAGGCTCTTTCCTTCGAATTCCGTCACTCTTCCCTGCTCCATGGCCATCAACACTTTGCTGATTTTGGCCAGCTCCAGTGTCCCCTCTGGTAGTCTGTAATATTGCCTGTGGATGCGAATGTCATGGCCGAGGAAGTTGGCAAGTATGTCCATCTCATTCTCTTTCATATTGAGAACTGTAGACATAGTAGCTATGTGCTTTCTAAGTTTGGTTGAGGATAGCATCTCTGGATGCACCGCACCACATTCTTTGGCTACCTGGCGTAGGGAGTCTGATCCCCTGATGTGGGTGTCTGCGCCCGGGCGGGAAAAGAAGTATGGGTTATGGTCAGAGATGGAACAGGCCCTTCTGTTCTCCACCAGCACCTCCATCGAAGCAATCATTTCAGGAGTCAAAAGAACCGGCACTTTCCGACTTCTTTTCCCTTTAATTTCAATGCGTTGAAAATGCTGACACAGCTTTTTCTCAAGTTGGGACAGTCCCAGAGCAATGTCAGAATGGATCCCAGTCTTACTTCTTAAGGTAAAGGCTGTCAGTGGCATCTTTGAAACCTCACCTTCCCTTCTTCGATTGAAAATGATGACCTCACAAAGAGTCAAAACTGCCAGTTTAGACCAATGCTTAGACGTTGGCTCACTTATTAGGGTTTGCACATATTCAGGTCGACATACCTCAATATGTGCATGCATGGCTCTAACGTCCTCAGTCAGAGGGAGCAGGTCCGGAGTGTTCCACTTGGCTTGCCGGAGGGTCTGTAGGGCAGCAGAAGAAACACAGACGTCCCACCTCTTCTCAAAAAGCAGCCGGCTTCGTTGGAGGTTTTTAATAAATAGTTCATCAACACAATGCTCCATTTTTGAGTCACATTCAAGAATATCTGCTAGCTTTCTGAGGCTATGGCCGAGTTTGAGGGCCAAGGATGGAGTCTTGTATTGATTTGTTTCCTCATCATATCCAGCCACAGACCTGACTGCATCAATCACATGGTTAAAGTTGGAAGGAATAAAGAAATCCTTAATTGTTTTCAGTTTCCCTGCGGTTTTTGCTTCGTTAATTAACCTACCGACTTCTCTCATTTTCTGCCTAATGTAATCATGCTT